TTAGCCTCCTGAGTAGCTAGGATTACAGGCATGAGCCACTGAAGCCTGGTTCACTTGGTATTTCGTTTTTTGTTTGTTTTTTTGGGTCCCATCGTGGGGCCTGAACTCTGGGCCTGGGTGCTGTCTCTCAGCTCTTCAGCTCAAGGCTAGCGCTCTACCACTTGAGCCACAGCGTCACTTCCGGCTTTTTTCTTTTTTTGCTTATGTGGTGCTGAGGAATCGAACCCAGGGCCTCAGGCATGCAAGGCAAGCACTCTACCACTGAGCCACCTTCCCTGCCCTCACTTGGTATTTCTTAAAGTAGGACTTGTTCTTGACAACTTCAACAAACCTCATCCCACAAATTAGAGTCCTTTGCCCACAGCTCAACACACAGGCTCAGCAGTGCTAGCTGACCTTGGTTTCTTATGAATAATTAAAATTTTTATAATTAGCTTGAAAGCCAACCCTGATGGGCTCCTTGAAAGTCTCTTTCCTGAATCAGTTATCTTCCTGTTTGGGGATGTTAACTATAATATCATGGTCAGTTCTTAATCTGTTGTCATGGTTGTGGCTCAGTACTTACTGATCACTCAACGAAAGTGACTCATTAAAAAACCCCAAACTTTCCATGTTCTTCAGCTGTCTGTATGATTGATGTACAAATTGAAACAGTGTGGTTGCTCAGTAGCAGCATGTGCACCTTCAAGCCAATGCATGGAAAATGGAATTAGCTCTGATTTTAATTGGTTTTAGAGTTTGCCAGACAATTGCGCTGGTAATGCATAAGAAGAACAAGAAAGTAAGCAGCCCATGCACCCACCATAGAAGTTAAATTCATGACTTGACAATGCCAGAGCATCTCCACTGAATAGCCAGGAACAAAGGAAAGAATGTTGTTTTTGCACACTTGTAAAGACTTTTAAAAGTGAGAGAAGTCCACTTATTTATTTGTTTGTTTATTTATGTATTCAGTCAGTCAAGTCAGTGGGGCTTGAACTCAGGGCCTAGGCACTGTCCCTGAGCTATTTTGCTCAAGGCTAGTGCTCTACCACTATGAGCCACAGCTCCACTTTGGTTTTTGAGTGGTTAATTGGAGATAAGAGCTTCATGGAGACTTTCTTTTGCCCAGGCTGGCTTTGAACCGTGATCCTCAGATCTCAGCCTCCTGAATAGCTAGCATTACAGGTGTGAACCACCCATGCCCAGGCCAACCTTGAAAAAAAAATTTAGGGGGAAGGCTTGCTAATGGGGCTTGAACTCAGGGCCTTGGCGCTGTCCCTGAGCTTTTTTGCTCAAGGATAGTGCTCTAGCAGTTTGAGTCACAGCACCATTCGACCTGGAAATTTCTTTTTTTTTTTTTTGGTCGGTTGTGGTGCTTGAACTCTTGGCTAGAGTGCTGTCCCTGCGCTCTTCAGCTCAAGGTGAGCACTCTACCACTTGAGCTACAGTGCCACTTCCGGTTTTCTGGTGGTTTATTGGAGATAAGAGTTTCACAGAGTTTCCTGCCCGGGCTGGCTTTGAACCGTGATCCTCAGATCTCAGGCTCCTGGGTAGCTAGGATTTTTTAAAATTTATTTTTTTATTTTTTGGGGGGGGGGGTTCCGGTCGTGAGGCCTGAACTCTGGGGCTGGGCGCTGTCCCTCAGCTCTTCAGCTCAAGGCTAGCACTCTACCACTTGAGACACAGCGCCACTTCCGGCTTTTTTCTTTTTGCTTATGTGGTGCTGAGGAATCGAACCCAGGGCCTCATGCATGCAAGGCAAGCGCTCTACCACTGAGCCACCTTCCCAGCCCCTGGGTAGCTAGGGTTACAGGCGTGAGCCACCGGTGCCCGGCTTTGAAATTTCTTAAGCAAGCTCTCTACCACTTGAGCTGAGCCATGCTTTTAGTTTGCTTTTCAGATAACTTCAATTCTTATTATACATACTGGTAGCTGGGATTACATATGTGAACCACCACACATGTCTGTTTCATTAATAAGAGTACTTACCAAGTGCATTTGTGCCCACACATCATTATTTTTACACTTAGACTAAGGGAACCTCGGTCTTTACTGTGCCTCGTGACTTCACAGTCTTCCTATATCACCCTAAATCCCACATACCAGGAATAAGAGATAACTCTAAAAGTTCTACAAAAGGAAATGGCATTACATTGCAGATTGCCTTCTTTCTATATATGAAATACACACTATCACTTATTATCAGATGATACTGATACTCAGATAGTCTCAGGCACTTTGAGTCTCTGAAGTCACTTTTTTTTTTTTTTTTGCCAGTCCTGGGGACTGAACTCAGGGCCTTGGCATTGTCTCTGAGCTTCTTTTGCTCAAGGCTAGCACTCTGCCTCTTGGAGCCACAGCTCTACTTCTGGCTTTTTCTATTTATATGTTACTGAGGAATTGAACCCAGGGCCTCATGCATGTGGGACAAGCACTCAACCGCTGAGCCACTTTCCCAGTCCTGAAATCACTTTTTAAATATTTAACTTTATTATTATTATAAAGGTGTTGTACAAAGGGGTTACAGGTTGTTTGTTTTTTTATCTGTGGTGGGGCTTGAACTTGGGGCCTGGGTACTGTCCCTCAGCTCTTCAATTCAAGGCTAGTGCTCTGCCACTTGAGTCATAGCACCACTTCTGGTTTTATGGTGGTTAACTGAAGATAAGAGTCTCACAGACTTTCCTGCCTGGGCTGGCTTTGAACTGTGATTCTCAGATCTCAGCCTCCTGCGTAGCTAGGATTACAGGTGTGAGCCATCAGCACCCAGCGGAATTAGTTATATAAGTCAGGTAAAAAGTTCATTTCTTTTTGAACATCGTCAAACTTTTTCTTGTGTCCTTAAAGTCTAATTCTCTCCCTTTCCCCTAGGTCTTCAGCCTGAAACCTTGAAGTGTTTTTAAATTACAAGTGGTATTTGCCATAAAGTTACTTGGAAGTGTTAATTTTATTATTAGTAGTATTAGTATTTGGTCATGGGGCCTGAACTCTGGGCCTGGGCACTGTCCCTCAGCTCTTCAGCTCAAGACTAGTGCTCTACCACTTGAGCCATAGCACCACTTCCTGCTTTTTCTGCTTATGTGGTGCTGGGGAATTGAACCCAGGGCCCCATGCATGCAAGGCAAACACTCTACCGCTAAGCCACCTTCACAGCCCTGGAAGTGTCTTTTTTTTTTTTCTTCCTCGGTCGTGGGCTTGAACTCTGGGCTTGGGCGTTGTTCCTGCACTTTTCAGCTCAAGGCGAACATTCTACTGCTTGAGCCACAGCACCACTTCTGGTTTTCGAGTGGTTTTTTGGAGATGAGTCTCAGGGACTTTCCTGCCAGGGCTGGCTTTGAACCATGATCCTCTGATCTCAGCCTCCTGAGTAGCTACGATTACAGTCGTGAGCCACCAGCACCTGGCTAGGACCTCACACTCTTACTTGGCTTTTTTACTTAGAATTGGCACTCTATCTTTTTACTCATGCCTCCAGCTAAGAATTCTGATGGCTAATTGGAATGGAATGTCATATTTTTCTGGCTTCAAACCACAGTCCTTAGATCTCAGCCTCCTGAGTAGCTAGGATTAGAGGCATGAGCCGCCTGGCAGAGCCTGGCATGTTTGCTTTTTGACAGAGGTCTTGCTATGTAGCCCAAACTACCCATGCAAATCCTCCAGCTTCAGTGGGATTATGTTATGATTACCATCATTACAGGAAATGTATTTTATAATGTTTTGGTTCTTTTTTTTTTGGTCAGTCGTGGGGCTTGAACTCTGGGCTTGGACGCTGTCCTTGAGCTCTTCAGCTCAAAGGCAAGCACTCTACCACTCAAACCACAGCACCACTTCTGGTTTTCTGTTGGTTAACTGGAGATAAGAGTCTCACAGACTTTTCTACCTGGGCTGGCTTTGAACTGTGACCTTCAGATCTCAACCTCCTGAGTAGCTGGGATTACAGGTGTAAGCCACCAGTGCCTGGAAAATTTTGTTTTTATTAATGTATCTAGGAAACTAGGCTGCATCATGTTGAAGCAGCATAAGAAATCCCCTTTACCGCATACATACATATATACATTGTGTATACATCTATATGTGTGTATATATGTATATATACACACAAATTTCATACAATCTCTTCATGCAGGATTGCTAGGTATTGCTATTATGGTTGAATTTTCTTAAAATGCCTAGTCTAGTGTTGCCATTAGTGATTATCTCTCAATCTCAGCTGACTGACTGACATTGTCCTGAATCCTGCAGGCCTTGGGTAGGCCTTTCTTCTGATAAACTATTTTAGATACTAATTGAAGCAGTTAAACTGCCTCTTTTCCTCATTCTTTTCTTCCTTTCCCTATTGCCTTCTGCTTTAAAGCATGAGAAACTCAAGAAACCTAATACAAACTATTGCTGTCTTCTTTCCTTTCCTTTCCTTTTCTTTTCTTTTTTCTTTTTTTTGCCAGTCCTGGAGACTGAACTCCAGGCCTGGGAACTGTCTCTGAGATTCTTTTGCTTAGGGCTAGCACTCTACCACTTGAGCCACAGTGCCATTTCCTGCTTTTTTTTTTGTTTACATGGTACTGAGGAATTGAACCCAGGGCTTCATACATGCTAGGCAAGCACTCTAACACTAAGAAGCCACATTCTCAGCCCCCTGTGCTTTTTTTTTTTAATTTAGGATCCTAAGGAAGTTTTGGTGGTACAAGTGCCCAATTGTCATTTGGTGCCATCAGACTGACAATCTAAGGAAAATGAGTGCATAAACTAAAAGCAAGACTAGAAAAGGCCCTTTGAGACAAATAAGACATGTCTTGCACAGTGCTCCCTTCTGAGGACTGAGGGGTGGGAGTAAAGAAAACACTGTGCTTGGTGGTGTCCTTCAAATGTCCCTTCTGGGAGCTGGATTCTTGTCAGCTTCTGCAGCCAAGAAGCTTGATTAAGGAAGGTCTGTTCCACAGAAAGCCCATTGTCAAGATAGCTCAAAACAGATGATTAAAAAAAAAAAAAAAGCTTACATCATCAGTGTTTTCTTTGTCTTACAGAGGTTTGAGTCCAGCCAATGACACTGGAGCCAAAAAGAAGAAAAAGAAACAGAAAAAGAAGAAAGAAAAAGGCAATGAGACAGATTCAAACCAGGATCCGCCTATGAAGGTAACAAGGGGTGTCTGTTTTTTTTGGGACTGATTGAGATTATTTTAAGGTTAATGTATTAATGTATAGGAACAATTTAGAGCAATGATCTCTGCTGATATTACTTCAAAATGGAAGAGACTCCAGTGCTGTCCTCCACTTCCCCAGACCTTGATGATGAAACACTTTCAGTACCTTAAAAGACAGCAAGTTAGATAGTGACTCCCAAGCATGAGAAATGACAGCCCCTGTACCCCTGTTGCCTATTGCAGTGGTTCTCAGCACTTTTCATCTTGAGCAAGCAATCTGTACTGATCCAGGCCCCCAGTCCTTCTTTCAATTTGTTCTTCAGATCAGTCCTCTTGTTTTTTGCCCAAGGTCAGCCTTAGAGAGCTATCATCTTATCTTCACCTCTGGAGTAGCTGAGATTCCTGGTGTAAGTCACCACCAAAGCTAGCTTTTGTTTTGCTGAAGATTTTTTTTTTTTTTTTTTGGTGACATTGGGATCAGCTTGATTTTGAAATGGAATTCTTGCTAACTTTTTTGTTGGCCTCAATCCTCCCATCTCTGCCTTCCATGTAGTTGGAATTACAGGCTTATATCACCATGCCTGGCACAATCCACACACACCACACCCTCCCCCCCCCCCCTGCACCCCATCACCTCTTACTTTTTGTTCAGGTCCTGGAGCTTGAACTCAGAGCCTAGGCACTGTGAGCTTTTTTGCTCAAGTCTAGCACTTTACCACTTGAGTCATACATCCCTCTTCTGGCTCTTTTGATTTTTCTGCCAGAGTTGGCTTCAAACCTCAGTCTTCAAATCTCAGCTTCCTGAGTAGCTGGGATTATAGGCATGACTACTGGCACCTTGCTAATCCTCTCCTTCCTAAAGAAGACTTCTGTATAATTGCAAGCATTCTTACAATGTCATGAAAACAAGTCCTGAAGTCTTTGCAAGTTGTACTAGTTGGGAGATACTGATCTATAGCCAACAAATTGAGACTAACACACTGTCATGAAACCCAGAAGTATGGGGAAGGATGTTTTTGTTCCTCAAATAAAACATTGCAAGAGAAACCCTTTTCTTTGAGGTAGCTCTTGTCTTCAGAGTAGATAGGGTGGGAAATGGTGGTGGTAAGGGACAGCTCAAAACATACATATAAGTCCATCATTTAAGCCATCCAGTAATCCTGGTTACTCAACAGGCTGAGATCTGGGGACTGTGGTTTGAGGCCAGCCCAGGCAAGAAAGTCCATGAGACTCTTATCTCCAACTAAACACCAAAAAGCTAGAAATTGAGTTGTAGCTCAAGTGGTAGAACAACAGCCTTGAGCAAAAAACAGCTCAAGAACTGTGCCTAGTTCTTGAGTTGAAGCCCCAGGACAGGAAGCAAAAGGAAAAACAGTTCTTCTTTTAACTTTCAAATACAATTAGACTATATATATATATATATATATGCATATATGCATATATATGCGCAGTTACTTAGGAGAGGAACCCAAAGACACAATGCCTATGTGCATCTGATCATATAAAACAATATTATCAAAATGAACTCCAGGAAATGGAAGCAAGAGGTTTTTTTTCTTTGTTAATAAAATTATATGCGTGTATATATGTCTGCGTACATATAATTAAGTTGTACAGAAAGATTAGTATTTCCGCAATTCAGATAATGCATACATTTCTCTTTTGCACAGTCACACTTTCCTTTGCTTTCCCCCAGTTTCCCCCTCCAAACACAACTTTTTTTTTTTCTGCTTATGTAGTGCTGAGGAATCCAACCCAGGGCCTCATGCATGCAAGGCAAGCACTCTACCACTGAGCCACCTTCCCAGCCCAAAACACAACTTTTGTTATATACATTTCCACTAATCTGTAAGGATTAGAAAGCCTATATATTCTTTTCTTTTTCACTATAGTATAAATACAGAGTGAGCTGAGCACTGGTGGCTCATGCCTGTAATCCTAGCTATTTAGGAAGCTGAGATTCAAAGCCAGCCCAAGCAGGAAAGTCCATGAGTCTCTCATCTCCAATTAACCACCAAAAAGCCAGAAATGGATCTGAGGCTCAAGTGGTAGAGCCCTAGCGTTGGGCAAAAAAATTTCAGGAACAGCACCTAGGCCCTGTATTCTAGCCCCAGGACTGGCACCAAAACAAAACAAACAGAAAAACTCTCAACCAGCTTACCTTGATAGGTCCCTTCTAGATCAGGGACCTGGAATCCAATATACACATCTTGCCCCGTCTGCTCTGCCTTAATGTGGTCAACCCCTCTACTGAAAGCTTGGACATGTTGTCGTCTAGTTACCAGCTTTCCCAGTGCATTCAATCAGCTCAAATCCCCTCTTAGAATTGCTTTAGAAACAGTTTACAAGAAATCTAGTCTCATTCTAGTGTATCTGTGCTTCGCTTTATGCCTCAAATGTGCTTTGAAGTGAATCTCCTATCTTACTAAGACATAGCTTCAAGTAATTTTTATGTCTTTCCAGTGCCAACTCCACCATGACAAAAGAAAAAAAATGTTAAAGCTAAGTGCTGGTGGGTCAGGCCTATAATCCTAGTTATACACAAGGCTAAGACCTGAGAATCTCTCTTTAAAGCTAGTTTGGTCAGACAAGTCTGTAACATTTATCTCCATTTAACCAGCAAGACTGTTAGAAGTAGAAGTGTGGCTCAAGTGGCCCAAGTGGTAGAGCACCAACAATGAGCAAAAAAACCCAAATGAGATTGTAAGGCTGAGTTCAAGCTCCAGTCTTGGCACACAGACAAAAAATGTTGTTGCTGAGAATCATGGTTCAAAGCCAGCCCTCTGGGCAGGAAAGTCTGTGAAGCTTTTTTTTTTTGTCGATTGTGAGGCCTGAACTCTGGGCCTGGGCGTTGTCCCCACTCTTCAGCTGAAGACCAGTGCTCTACCACTTGAGCCTCAGCCCCACTTCTGGCTTTTTCTGCTTATGTGGTGCTGAGGAATAGAACCGAGGGCCTCATGCATGCAAGGCAAGCACTCTACCACTGAGCCACTTTCCCAGCATCATCTGTGAGACTCTTACCTCCAATTAACCACCAGAAAACCGGAAGTGGCGCTGTGGCTCAAGTGATAGAGTACTCACCTTGAACTGAAGAATTGAGGGACAGTGCTCAGGCCCAGAGTTGAAGCCCCACGACCAACCAAAAAAAAAAAAAAAAAGTTGTTGACTACCACATTAACTATCCTCTTCCTAGGTACTTCATTTAAACCTTCTCTATCCTTACAAGGTAGGTGGGAGTCTTTCCATATAAGAGAGGTAACTTACCCAAGTTTTTTGATCAGAAATTCTAGAACCTGGTCTGTAACCAAATCTGCTATCAAAATTCATTCAGGTGCCAGGCACCAGTGGCCCATGCTTATTATCTAGATACTTGGGCTGAGATCTGAGGTTTGCTCTTTGAAATCAACCAGGGCAATAAAGTCCATTAGACTCTTCTCTCTAGTTAACCACCAAAAAGCTGAAAGTAACTCAAGTGGTAGAGTGCTAACCTTGAGCAAGAAAAGCTCAGGGACAGTGACAAGGCCCTGTGTTCAAGTCCTAAGACAAAAACGTGTATATACACTTAGAATTTACATGCAGAAAAGGCTGGGATTATAATTGACTTTGGCAGGTCAAAACTTCTGATGACAGGGGCTGGGAAGGTGGCTCAGTGGTAGAGCACTTGCCTTGCATGTGTGAGGCCCTGGGTTCGATTCCTCAGCACCACATAAGCAAAAAGAAAAAAGCCGGAAGTGGCGCTGTGGCTCAAGTGGTAGAGCACTAGCCTTGAGCTGAAGAGCTGAGGGACAGCACCCAGGCCCAGAGTTCAGGCCCCACGACCAGACCCCCTAAAAAAAAACTTCTGATGACAAGGATTATAATTAAGGAATGAGACTTTTGGGTTTTTACTTTCTATGTGTCTTCTGCTTTTCTGCATTGTTTGAACTGATCATATTTGTTTGTTTCTTACCACAAGACTAAAATGGGAACAAACCCAATAGGCAGCACCTATTTTTGTTGTTGTTGTTGTTGGTCATGGGGCTTGAACTCTGGGCTTGGGTGCTGTCCCTGTGTTCTTCAGCTCAAGGCCAGTGTTCTACCACTTGAGCCACAGCACCACTTCCGGTTTTTGAGTGGTTTATTGGAGATAGGAGTCTCAAGGTCTCTCCTGCCCGGGGTTGGCTATGAACCATGATCCTCAGATCTCAGCCTCCTGAGTAGCTAGGATTACAGGTGTGAGCCACTGGCACCTGGCTGGCAGCACCTATTATATTAGCTCACCATAAATCACTCTTTCCCCCTTGTATAATTTATGGCTTTGAGATTAAGATAGAGGAACCATGCCCCTTCTTTCTGAGTTGTACCCCTTAACTTTTGACCTTATAATCAATTAAAACTCTTACTAACACAATGGTCCTTTTTTTTTCTCTGACTTTTATCTGTCCAGATGAACTCTTTGCCAGCAGAGAGAATCCAGGAAATACAGAAGGCTATTGAGCTGTTCTCAGTGGGTCAGGGACCTGCCAAAACTATGGAGGAGGCCAGCAAGCGGAGTTATCAGTTCTGGGATACACAGCCTGTCCCCAAACTGGGTATGTATGTGCTCTCCTCCCTAGGTGAGGGCCAGGAACAGGCTTTAGCTGTGTGCTTCTGTGGGATTCCATGCTGAATTTGTAAGGTTGGCAAGGGTCAAGCAGTTTCTTTTTTTTTTTTTTGCGGGGGGGTGGGGGGGGGGGGTCCGGTCATGGGGCCTGAACTCTGGGCCTGGGCGCTGTCCCTCAGCTCCTCAGCTCAAGGCTAGTGCTCTACCACTTGAGCCACAGCGCCACTTCCGGCTTTTTTCTTTTTGCTTATGTGGTGCTGAGGAATCGAACCCAGGGCCTCATGCATGCAAGGCAAACGCTCTACCACTGAGCCACCTTCCCAGCCCCTCAAGTAGTTTCTTGATGATTATTTTTAGAAGCTAACTTTTCAAAAAGATTATAGAAAAGACTGTTGTTTAGAGATCATATTGTTTCGCAGAAACATATACTGAGACCAAATAGTGGTTCTTTTAGTCTATCATTATCCAATACAAATTTGCAGAACAGTGTTCTGACACATGATGAGTAGAGATGTCTGCCTATGGATCTGTTTTCCCACTTAGATTTGTGAGAGACTGTTTTGTTTGTCTGGGCAAATGTGTAATTCTGGAATGGTTATAGATTCTCCAGCCTTCTCCCCCTTCTCTTGGTTGATGCCATGTTTATTCAATGTAAAATAATGTGACATTTTTCTTAACAGGGGTGGTTTAGCTTCAGAAGTACTATAAGTAGCTTTCATTGAGTCTTTAAAAAAGCTATAATACACTTTTTTTTGCTGATACCAGGGCTTGAATTCAGGGCCTTTAATTCACTCAGCTTGCTTGCTCAAGATGACTGCTTTACTACTTGAGCCATATACTTTCAGCCCAACTTTTTGCTGGTTCTTTTGGAGATGGAATCTCATGAACTTTTCTACCTGGGCTGGCTTCAAGCTATGATCCTCCAGGCCTCAGCTTCCTGAGTAGCTAAGGTTATAGGTCTGAGCCACTGGCACCTGGCTATAATAAGCTTCTAAAGGAATGAGACATCTAGAACTTGCAAATTGATTCCAAAAAGGATTGAGCATAGTGGAGATGCCTGTTGCCTGAGCCACAGCTAACTTGATAGCTAACTTCAGAGATTGAAGTTGACAGGAAGTTTCAGGAGTGGTTGCATGGTGGTTCTAGACTCACTAGGGATCAACTCTTTTTTTTCCTCATGGCTGGGGAAGTGAGAATGTTTTACAAAAACATATTCTAACGCCAAATGTAAGTAAGTGCCAGTATGTCAATATTGTTGTTCTTCCATAGAAACATGATGAGCTGCATCTGTCCGTGGTTCATCCCTGTAATCCTAGCTACTCAGGAGACTGATCTGAGGATTGTGGTTCAAAACCAGCCCAGGCAGGAAAATCCATTAGACTCTTATCTCCCATTAACCACCAGAAAACCAGAAATGGAGCTGTGGCTCCATAGTGGTAGACTACTCACCTTAAGTGAAAAAACTCTACCCAGGCCTTGAGTTCAAGCCCCATAACCAAATAATGAATGAATGAATAAATAAATAGGCAAAAACTTGCCATCAGAACATTGTATACATTTTTGTGTCTATAATTCCAGTAGCTTGGGAGGCTGAGGCAAGTTCTAGGTAAGTCTGGGCTACTTAGTGACAGCTGTCTAAAGACTAAGAGAGAGAAGAAAAGAAAGAAGTTTGTTGGTAATGTCAGGCATGAGCAGTGATACTCTTCGTAAAGTGCAACTCTGAAGTTGTCAAGCCTTTCTCCTCCCCCACCCCTACCCCCATACTGCCTCCCTCTTCCCCACTCCAGCCCCATTAAGATTATACCACAGCTCTAAGGATAAAGTCTAGTCGTGGAGTACAGGCCCTTCAGGACTGGCCTGGGGGTCTTCTTCAGCCTCATCTAGTTTCAGTTCCTCCCATTCTTCCTTTCCAGCCTTTCTATGCTCTGGCAAAGAGGAAGATTGTACAGGCCAGGGTGGAGCTGTTGTTCGAGGAAGCTTCCAGGCCACTTGGGCAGACTTGGTGATTCAGCCTAAAAGCACTTGTAGGACTCTAAACACAAAGACAGAGCTGGCAGAACAGTTAGCTGGCCCACACTTCCCAAAGCCCAGGCTGCAGGGCCAGGATTGAGCCTGGCGCCTAGAAGCCATCATCTCTCTGGCTCAGGAATGGGTGCAGTGCATTGTTGTTGCTGTTGACACAAAGGCAGCCTTGTTGCAACTCCTTACAAATCCCCTCACACCAGGGGTCCTGGGCTAAGACATGGCAGCCCTCCTTATACTAAATAGGAGGCAGGAAGCCCGATTAGCAAAGATAAATGTTTGTCATTCAGGAACCCAAGGGAGATTTAAAAGGATTTCCAAAAATGAGCCACCTTAGATCCTAGTGGTTGTTCTGAGCTTTTGCCATGCACTGGCCTTCAGTTAGGGGCAGAGGGTAGCCAGAGAGTAGATTTGCCATTGCCAAGTACAGAATGTTCTTCAGATGCAGGGCTCCTAGGGATAAGAAGAATTTTGCCCTGGTCAGTCTTTGAGCTTAGCCCTACCTTTCTCCTTTCCTCCCCCACCTCCAGGAGGAAGTGAGAGAGAAAGAGAAAGAAAGAGGGAGAGAGAGAGAAAGACTTATGGCTGTGTTCTTCTTCCAGGTGAAGTAGTAAATACTCATGGTCCCGTGGAGCCTGACAAAGACAACATCCGCCAAGAACCCTACACCCTACCCCAAGGCTTCACCTGGGATGCCTTGGACCTGGGAGACCGTGGTGTGGTGAGTAGACAGGGGTCTGTAGGCTCTAGATCCCTTCTCCAGGACTCTTAAGAGTTGAGCCAAGTGGAATAAACAGAATGCCTGAAGCCTGCTCAGGACTCCACAGAAATAGCATTGGACCTCTTAGCATCTGGCACATTGAAAGCTAGCCTCAGTAGGATACATTTTTGCTCATTTGTTTATTCATTTATTCCTTTTGTTGTGTGTGTGTGCCAGAACTGGGACTTAAACTCTGAACCTCACACTCTTGTTTAGTTCTTTTGCTCAAGGCTGGTGCTCTACCTCTTGAGCTATAGCTTCACTTCTGGCTTTTTTTTTTTTTTTTTTTTTAATGCTTAATTGGAGATAAGAGTCACAGACTTTCCTACCTGAACTGGCTTCAAATAATGATCTTCAGGTCTCGGCCTCCATAGTAGCTAAAACTACAGATGTGAGCCACTGCTCCCTGGACCACTTGGATTTTAATAGCAAATAAGCCAGCAGTTGGAAATAGCTCAGACCATAGGGAAAAAATGCCAAAAGATCTTTGGGTCATATGATTCAAAACCAAATATAGCTAGGCACAAGTGGCTCACACCTATAATCCTAGCTACTCAGGAGGCTGAGATTTGAGAACTACGGTTCAAATCCAGCCTGGGAAAGAAAGTCTGTGAGACTCTTATCTCCACTAAACCACCAAAAAAGCCAGAATTACAGCTCTATGGCTCAAGTGCCCTAGCCTTGAACAAAAAAGCTCAGGGACAATGCCTAGGTCCTGAGTTCAAGCTCCAGGCCTGGCACAATAAAACAAACAAAAAGTATAATTGAAAGTAGCAGTGATTCTCCTGAAAACAATTCCTTGACCAACCCAAAAGTCACATGTTGCAAGTGATAGAACACACCTGCCTAGCAAATTGATACCCTTAACTGATCCAGTCCCACAGGGGGGAACAAAACAGTAGAAACCAGTAGCTCCCTCTTGGTGATGAATCAGAATAATAGAGAAGTTGGTTTGTTAGATGACATTCCTGGTCTACCACTCTGTGTGAAGTCTAGAGTGTACCCTTTAGGAATTAATTTTGCTTTACAACTAAGGGAGCTTGTTTCCCCAAAATCCCCAACATGCCTGGAGTGAAGAGAATTTGTGAGATTCAGGGGAGTTTGGTAGGTTACCTTGCCCTTCTGTAACATGGAGCCGCAGGATATTGGAGTTGGTCTGCCGCCTCTCAGTGAGCTCCTTATTTCTCTACAGCTGAAGGAGCTCTACACCCTCCTGAATGAGAACTATGTGGAAGATGATGACAATATGTTCCGCTTTGATTATTCCCCAGAGTTTCTTTTGTGGTGAGTTGAAAGGGCTTTCTTTTACTATTATTTTATTTTTACTTTATAAACACTAGAAATTTCTGGCTTTTTTTTTTCTTTTGTGGTACTGGGGATTGAACTCAGCACCACATGCTTGCTAGGCAAGTGCTCTTCCACTTAAGCTACACAACGCCCCCCTTCCCCCTTCTTTTTGCTTTTTTTTTTTTTTTGATAGGGTTTTTGGCTTTTGCCTGGGCCGACTTTGGACTGTGATTCTCCTACCTCCTCCTCCTCCTAAGTAGCTGGGGTCACAGCTGTGTACCACTATGATGCCTGGCTAGAAATTTATTTCTTGTGTTTTTTTTTGTTTTGTTTTGTTTTGGTGCCAGTTCAGGGGCTTGATCTCAGGCCCTGGGTACTGTCCCTGAGCTCTTTTTACCACTTGAGCTATAGCTTCACTTCTGGCTTTTGGTGTATTTAATTGGAGATAAGAGCCTCATGGATTTTCCTGCCCGCAGGCTTTAACTGTGATCCTTAGATCTCAGCCTCTTTTGTAACTAGGATTACAGGTGTGAGCCACCAGTGCCCGGCAGAAGGGTCATTTTAAATCCAGTTTCTTAGTGTGCTCATTTGTGTGCAAGTAGCCTTGGCTGACTAAGCTGTCTGCCTACTTGAGTCATGTTTAACTTCCAGGAAAAGCTGGATAGGGTGATATCCAGCCTGTAATCCCAGCTGGCTAGTAGTCTGAGGAAGAAGTTCAAGGCCAGCCTGGCCAGCTTACCAAGATGCTGTCTCAAAAAATATTTTAAAAGGGCTGGATAGCTCAGTGGTAGAAGGCTTACTTTATAGGCATGAGGTTCTGGGTTCAGTCTCCAGTTACATCAAAAAAAAAAAACAACATAGGAAGATAGAGATTTGGAACTGAAATAAAGAAGCCTACCTAAAAAGGGAAGGAAAAGCAGAATAGACAGGCAGAAAGATGCCTGGAGAAGGAGCTCCCAATCACAAGACCCACTGGGCTCCTTGAATCAAAATGAACATAAAGAGCCAGGTATGGGATATATGCTTTTATTTGAGAGGCAGAGACAGGAGAATCACAAGTTTAAGGCCAGCCTAGATTATGTGGTAAGATCCAGTCACAAGAGGATTTTTTTTTGTTGTTGGTCATAGGGCTTGAACTTGAGGCCTGGGTGCTGTCCTTGAGTTCTTCTGCTTAAGGTTGAGTTCTACCACTTTGAGCCACAGCACCACTTCTGGTTTTCTGGTGGTTAATTTGGAGATAAGAGTATCATGGACTTTTCTGCCTGGGATGCCTTTGAACCACAGTCCTCAGAGATCTTTGCTTCCTGAGTAGGTAGGATTGGATTATAGGCATGAGCCACTGGCACCTGGCTCAAAAGACTTTTTTTTTTTAAAGAAAGAAGGGCTGGGAAGGTGGCTCAGTGGTAGAGCGCTTACCTTGCATGCATGAGGCCCTAAGTTTGATTCCTCAGCACCACATAAGCAGAAAAAGCCAGAAGTGGCGCTGTGGCTCAAGTGGTAGGGCACTAGCCTTGAGCTGAAGAGCTGAGGGACAGAGTCTAGGCCCAGAGTTCAGGCCCCACGACTGGCAAAAAAAAAAAAAAGAAAGAAATCTTAGCTATTCAGAAGGCTGAAGACTCAGGATCACAGTTTGAAGCCAGCCAAGGCAGAACAGTCCATGAGACTGCATCTCTAGTTAACCAGCACAATGCTAGGCTGATGGCATGGTTCAAGTGGTAGAGTGCCAGTTGTGAGAAAGCAAGCTGATAGAGTGTGAGCCCTGGAGTTCAAGCCTCAGTATCAGCACACACACACACATACACAGAGGGCAGGGAGCGGGGAGAAAAGTAGAGAGTAATTGGATCAGGCGTGAAATCCTCAGTATGACAGCCTTGTTTTGGTGAGTAAGGCCAAGTGGGCTGAGCATTGAGAAATGGCTATGGCAGGATTCCATTTGTTTCCAGGAAGGCTTGGCCCTAAAGAGAATTAAGCTATTAATCTCTAGGGAAGTGGTAGTGCCAGGCTTGAACCAAACATGGCTCTGTAGTCCAAAAAGCTATCCAGCTGCTACAAAGAGCACCAACCCTTGTATCTTTTCCAGGGCTCTCCGGCCTCCAGGATGGCTCCCCCAGTGGCACTGTGGGGTTCGAGTGGTCTCAAGTCGGAAACTGGTTGGGTTCATTAGTGCCATCCCAGCAAATATCCACATCTATGACACGTAAGCATCCTTGCCGCACTTCCCTGTACTCAACTTCATTGGGGAGAGAGGAACAGTAAGCTACATGAGCCTCATGAAAAGAAGAGGGAAGAGCCCACGAAAGAGCCCAGTACTGGAAAAGCAAACTCCTCACTCCTATGAGCAGCATGTCTTGCTCATTTGTGACTAGTTGCTTGTCTGTGACCTAGGCTGGGAAGTGCTTGCCCACTACTACTGTGCTCCTGGCCTAGTCACACGTCATGCTCATAAACAGCTTCAAAAATTGAAGCCAGGGCTGGAAATTTGGCTTAGTGGTAAAGTCTTTGCCTAGCATGCATGAAGTCCTGGGTTTGATTCCTCAGTACTACATAAACAGAAAAAGCTGTAAGTGGCACTGTAGCTCAAGTAGTGGAATGCTAGCCTTAAGAAAAAAGAAGCTCAGGGGCAGTGCATAGGCCCTGAGAGCAAGTTCTAGGACTGGCCAAAAAATAAAAAAAAAATCAAAGCCATTGTGACCCAGATTCAGATGTCCATTGGGGCCTTCGATCTCTGTTGTTCATTTTCCCTTGAAATAGCACAGCTGTCTGCCAGTCTTCTGGGTTTATATTCTGTAGATTCTTTTTTTTTTCTTTTTTCTTTTTTTGTGTGTTGGTCATGGGGCTTGAACTCTTGGCCTGGGTGCTGTCCCTGAGCTCTTCAGCTCAAGGCTAGTGCTCTACCACTTGAGTCACAGCCACTTCCGATTTTCTGGTGGTTTATTGGAGATAAAGAGTCTCTAGGACTTTCCTACCTGGGTTGGCTGTGAACTGCAATCCTCAGATCTCAGCCTCCTGAGTAGCTAGGATTACAAGTGGGAGCCACCAGCACCCAGCAAGCTGTAGATTCTTGTGGGAATCCAAATCCTTGGGTTCCTGGGCTGGCTTCCTGAATGCTACAGGTAGGATTCCCCAGTCCACTCTTGGGGATTCACAGAGAGTTGATGGTACCTTCAGGTAAAGGCATTTATAGCACCCTACTTCCCTTTGTAAATGGGGTCCATGTGGAGGCAAGGCTGCCTGGCAGAAGCTGGCAGAGTAGTGAGAGAGAGCCTAGTACTGACTGCTGAGCGCAGGTGGCATCTAAATGCACACTTGTGCTGAAGTTCCCCCTTCCAGTTCAGCTCCACATGCTGGAAGACATTACCAGTATTTGTGATGTCGTTGTCATTTCCCCTCACTCCTCAGAGAGAAGAAGATGGTGGAGATCAACTTCCTGTGTGTTCATAAGAAGCTACGCTCCAAGAGGGTGGCTCCAGTGCTGATCCGAGAGATAACCCGAAGGGTCCACCTGGAGGGCATTTTCCAGGCTGTTTACACTGCCGGGGTGGTGTTGCCAAAGCCTGTTGGCACCTGCAGGTAAAAATCTTGTTTCAGGTCCTATAAATGCAGGTGTCCTGTTCCAGTTGCAGAGTTAATGTCACCATAAGGTGCAGTCCTACGCCTCTGCTCCAAATATGCACTGGACCAGTTCTAGTCGCTAGTGTCTGGTGGGCTGGTGGATGGGGAGCATGATAGGGAGCAGACTTGGAAAGAAGTTAGCCATTCTCAGCTCCTGAAGTTACTGCCATTTAGAGATGGGGGCGGGCTGGGCATCGGTGGCTCACGCCTGTAATCCTACCTATTCAGGAGACTGATCTGAGGATCAAGGTTCAAAACCAGCCTGGGAAGGAAAGACCGTGAGTCTCTTATCTCCAATAAACCACTTAGAAAACCAGAAGTGGTGCTGTGGCTCAAGTGGTAGAGCGCTATCCTTGAGCTGAAATGCTGAGAGTCAGCGCCCAGGCCCAGAGTTCAAGCCCATGACTGGTGGAAAAAATAGAGATGGGAGCAGGGAGCAAAACCTGGGTTTTGACAGAAAATGTCCTGAAGTTTAAGTAGTTAGCTCAAATGTGTTTTGAATATTGTGAGTCAAAGAGTTTGTCTGATCTCCATGTGATCTAATGACAACCTCTGTCTTAGAAAGTTTTTGGAAATAATTGAATAAAATCTTTGCCTAGAAAACTGGAAAATAAAAACACCAGGTGAATGCAGAAGAGGAGGAAGGAGGAGGGTAAGCAGATCTGCCAATCTTTTGGCATGACTGTCAGTCCTCCCACTGACTTGATTCCCGGTGAAAGGATGCACTCACCAGACAACTTCTGTAATAAGGGAATGGCTTTTGAAATTGAGAAAGGAAAATAGCCGGGGGGGGGGGGAAATCAGAAGAGCAGCTCTGCATTCACCCTGGAAGGGGCAGGGTAGATGCCAGAATCCTAGCAAGCCCTGATGTGTCTCTCACGCCACCTGCTGGCCATCCTTGCCACTATCCTCTAGCAGCCCACATTATCTGAAGACAGACAGGACCTTTATGTCTCCACAGGTACTGGCATCGGTCCCTAAATCCACGGAAGCTGATTGAAGTGAAGTTCTCCCACCTGAGCAGAAATATGACCATGCAGCGCACCATGAAGCTCTACCGACTGCCAGAGGCCAGTGGTGCTGCTAGGCGGGGATTAAGGGCAGACGGAAACAGAAAAACCCAGCCTCAGCAGGAAGGAACAGGGCAGAGGGTGGGGAAGTGCTATGCTTACCTGAGTGGTGAGCTAGCCTATAGTCTCCAGATTCTTTTTTTTTCCTGTTTATTTTAGTTTGATTTTTCTTGATTCTGCTGAGTCTGCCTGGGCTTGTTTCTTTGCCATCTGTTGATAAGCTCAAAGAAACCCCTGTTCTCTAATATTAGCCTGCCAGGCATAAGTAGGAAAGATGAATCCACTAACTGAATCTTCACACATGGACTTATCAAATACATCCAAGAGCCCAGTGTACCGGAACCTGTTCCATGTGGCCTAAGCTTGTGAGAGAAGCCCACATTTCTAATCCTAATCCCCCCACTCAGCTTGGACACTGAGGAACTGGCAGTCTGCAACAAGCTGGTTTTCTGTTCTTGTTCTCAGTCTGTTTCCCAAAGCAACAAGTATTCCTGTTGTCCGGCTGTGCCTACCTTCAGGACCCTGAAGTGGGGAGTGGGAAACCCCTTCTCTTGCCTTGGAGCACTTCTACTCTGCTGTCCTCACAGTGACCAACCACCTGCTGTGCAATGCAGAGGGCTGTAGTGCCCAGAGCTGCCCCTGGCCACCTGCTTACCCCAGCATGGGGCTAATCTGCTACTGGATTGGGGTCATTAGAGTCCCATCTGGAGAATGCAACAGCACATTTACAAATTGCCAAAAACAGATTTGGGAAGCTGGCTGTGGTTGTGTATGACTGGAATTCCAGTGCTTGGGAGGGTGAGGCCGAGAGGATTGAGAATTCTAGACCAGGGCTACATGGTATACTCTATCTCAAAACAAAACCCAAAGGGTTGAGAGAACTAGGCACTGGTGGCTCATGCCCATGATCCTAGCTACTCTGGAGGCTGAGATCTTAGCCAGCCCAAATAGAAAGTCCACAAGACTTATCTCCAGTTAACTACCCCCCAAAAAAGCCAGAAGTGAAGGTGTGGCTCAAATAGTAGAGTGCTAGCCTTGAGCATAAAGAGGCTCAGAATAGCATTCAGGCTCTGAGTTTAAGCCCCAGGACTAGTGTGTGTATACACACACACACACATACACACGCGCACGCACACACACACACACCCAGCAGCCTGAGCAGAGTCCAAGCAGCTCTTATTTCTAACTTCCACAAAGCTATGGCTCAAGTGGTAGACCTCCAGCTTTGAGCAAAAAAGCTAAAGGACAGTGCAGGTCCTGAGTTCAAGCCTTAGTAGGTGTTTTCTCCCCTGTGTTACAAAGGCCAGTGTGCCCTATGTTTCAGGCAGGCAGAGAGCCATGTTGAAATGCTCTAGATCTGTTTTGATGTGGAGAGCCTACTGTGGCTGTGTTTTCAGCCCATAATTTGAGGTGTCACTGTGTGGCTGTCATATAGGATAAGGCACTTAAGTATTCCCTAAAGAGATCCGGGTTCGTAAGGATTTTTATTATTTTCTTTTCTTTTTGTCAGTCCTAGGGCTTGAACTCAGGGCCTGGGCACTGCCTCTGAGCTTCTTTTGCTCAAGGCTAGCATTCTACCACTTGCGCCACAGCGCTACTTCCAGCTTTTTCTGCTTATGTGGTACTGAGGAATCAAACCCAGGGCTTCGTGCATATTAGGCAATCATTCTACCACTAAGTCACATTCCCAGACCCTATTTTATTTTATTTTTTGTTGGTCATGGGGCTTGAACTCTGGGCCTGGGCACTATCCCTGAGCTCTGTAGCTCAAGGCAAGGGCTCTACCTCTTGAGCCACAGCTCTACTTCCCATTTTCTGGTAGTTAATTAGGATAAGAATCTCAACCGCTTTCCTTCCCTGGCTGCCTTTGAACTGTGATCCTCAGATCTCAGCCTCCTATGGAGCTAGATTTACAGGTATGAGCCACTGGCGCCCAGCTTATTTTATTTTTGTATGCATTTCCTATGGTGCACCTGACTACTAAGAAATTTTATAGGTTAGAAATCCAGAACTGGCGTTTTAAAAACAATCCCTGCCCTGAGAAAGAGTTTTGTCAGGCAGTGACAAACATATCAACAATGACTGCACTGTTTTCCATTTGGCACAGCCCTACCTTTGTCCACCTCTGGGATGATAAATCCTAGTATTTGCTCAATGGGATCATGTGGTTTCCTTCCATGGAAGCTTTCTTTTTTTTTTTAAGAAAAAGCAACAATTGGTGCAGGGTGTGGTTATACATGCCTGTAATTCCAGCAGATACAGAAAGGAAAACAGAAGCCCTATCTAAAAAGTGAAAAAAAAGATGGGGAGGGCTGGAGGTATGGCTCAAGTAGTAGAACACTAGCAAGCCAAAGGTCCAGAGGTCCCGAGTTTAAACCCCAGTACCATCGAGAGAGAGAGAGAGAGAGAGAGAGAGAGAGAGAGAGAGAAGGCCAGTGTGTGTAAGGGGGGGTGGTGATTGATTTAGTTGAAATCCTGGGAGCTGGGTGCCTTTCTTTTGAATTCATCTGGCTGCAGTGTCCTGCCAGGGGCACTGCCAGTGCTGCAGTCTCTCTGGGATGTGATGTGTGGAGTAGAGGGACCTGAATGTAGGAAGGCAGCTACTTCTCAGTGTGAGGAGGCTCTGAGTATTCCAAGAGGCTTGCTTTCTTTCTCTCTCTCTCTCCCTCCCTCCCTCCCTTCCTTCCTTCCTTCCTTCCTTCCTTCCTTCCTTTCTTCCTTTCTTTCTTTCTTTCTTTCTTTCTTCCTTTCTTCCTTTCTTGCTTTCTTTCTTTCTTTCTTTCTTTCTTTCTTTCTTTCTTTCTTTCTTTGTTTCTTTCTTTCCTTCTTTCTTTCTTTCTTTCTTTCTTTCTTTCTTTCTTTCTTTCTTTCTTTCTTTCTTTCTTTCTTTCTTTCTTTCTTTCTTTCTTTCTTTCTGCCGGTTTTGGGCTTGAATCTGGGGCTAGGTACTGTCCCTCAGCTTTTCAGCTCAAGGCTAGCACTCTACCACTTGAGCCACAGCACCACTTCCAGCCTTTTTCTGTTTTTGTGGTGCTGAGGAATCAAACCCAGGGCCTCATGCATGCAAGGGAAGCACTCTACCACTGAGCCACCTTACCAGCCCTCCAAGAGGCTTAGGATGTGCCCAGGGGATAATGGGAAGTCTCAGACACATCCTGGAAGCAGGCAGGATTTCTCTCAGTCATGATGCTGCTGACATATTTTGTCATGAGGACAGGCCTACCTTGTAAGTTGCTTAACAGCAACCCTATCTTCTACCTGCTTGATGCCAGTAGTATTCCTCCTCTAGTTGTAAGCAGCAGAAATGTCTTCAGATGTTGCTAAATTGCTCTTGGGTGGCAACATCCTCCCAGTTGAGAACTACAGTTAGGCAAATGGAAGGTATTGCCAGAAAGGCCAGCTGGTCTGGAGGGTAGAGGCTCTTGTGTTTCATGGGGAGTAAAACAGGGAGGGCTCAAGGGCCCGTGTGAGGACAGCCTGGGTCACATAGATGAGAGAGATTGATCCAACAGCTTCAGCCTGGATGATGGCAGCCATGCTGATGAGAGGAAGGGCCAAAAGAGCTGTAGAGGCTGCATCAAGCTGAGTCTATGCCCAAGGTACTGGGGAAAATGCTGAGGGTGACCAAAGATTCTCTCTTGGGGGTTTGGGAGGACAGATCAGAGTGACGGGCAGATCTACCTCTGACACCTTCTTTTCTGTTTTCCAGACTCCCAAGACAGCTGGGCTGCGACCAATGGAAAAAAAGGACATTCCAGTAGTGCACCAGCTGCTCACCAGGTACTTGAAGCAGTTTCACCTCACGCCAGTTATGAGCCAGGAGGAGGTAGAGCACTGGTTCTACCCCCAGGAGAACATCATTGACACTTTTGTGGTAGAGGTAAGTCAAGGAATGGAGGAATGGTTCCTAGAGAGGTGGCCCCCTGAAGCACCTAGGCTCCTCAGTACCCAGTGTTGGCACTCTAGGCTTCTTGGTCCTTCTATGTTTGGTCATCTAAAAGACAGGGCATTATAGGTTGTGTTTGGTGAAAACTTTGGCCTGGCTTGAGCCTCCTGGCCCCTAACAGAAGAATAGAAGACCTTGTTTGTCTAGGTGAGTCTTTGCTGCTCTGTGTGTCCCACATGGGAGATCCAGTCTGGGCCATGAGAACCATTAGAAGAGGTCCCTGGCAATGCTCAGCCAGAAAGAGGACTAGCTTAGTGCAGAGCCCAGAGCCCAATCCAGCTCCATCCTCAAGTGCCCTCAGCCAGAGTATTTCCTCTCCCTGCATGTCTGGTTCCAGTTTCCACCATTCAGCTAGAGACCAAAGCTGCTTGGGGGTGATGTGTAGGAGATCATAGTGCTCCTGGTCTACACTCATTGTACATGTGTGACAATGCCTTTATTGTCTTCCCTTCAGAATGCTAACGGTGAGGTGACAGATTTCCTGAGCTTTTATACACTTCCCTCCACCATCATGAACCATCCAACCCACAAGAGTCTAAAAGCTGCTTATTCTTTCTACAATGTTCATACCCAGACCCCTCTTCTAGACCTCATGAGCGACGCCCTTGTTCTCGCCAAAATGGTAAGAAGCAGACCAGAGGGTCTCAGTGATAAAAGATGAGGGAAGGGAGCAGTGGTAAGCACATCTTCCAATAGACCTCTGCTCACAGCCCCTCATCCTCCTGATCTTAGGCATGGTCCCAGGAGTTTTCAGCCCCAAACTAAAAGCTAGGAGAAGCCGGGCACCGGTGGCTCATGCCTGTAATCCTAGCTACTCAGGAGGCTGATATCTGAGGATCACAGTTCAAAGCCAGCCCAGGCAGAAAAGTCCGTGAGACTTTATCTCCAATAAACCACCAGAAAACAGTAAGTGGCCCTGAGGCTCAAGTGGTAGAGAGCTTGCCTGAAGAGCGCAGGGACAGCGTCCAGGCCCAGAGTTCAAGCCCCACATCTGACAAAAAAAAAAAAAAATGCTAGGAGAGTTTGGAGTACACCAAGAATCTGAGAGTCAGGTCACCAATGGCGTGACAGCAGAGAGGTAGGACATAGTCTTTTTCTGTTTTCACCTGTTCTTTCTTCTGTTGCCCTGCAGAAAGGGTTTGATGTGTTTAATGCACTGGATCTCATGGAGAACAAAACGTTCCTGGAGAAGCTCAAGTTCGGCATAGGGGATGGCAACTTGCAGTATTACCTGTACAATTGGAAGTGTCCCAGCATGGGGGCCGAGAAGGTATGAGTGGTGCAACCAGAAGTTAGGCTTGCCAGAGAGCTGGAATCTCTAGCAAAAATACCCAGTGGCTCACGCTTGTAATCCCACCTACTCAGGAGGCTAAGATCTGAGGATAGAGGTTCAAAACTAGCCTGGGCAGAAAAGTCTATGAGACTTTGATCTCCAATTAATCATAGAAAAAGCCAGAAGTGGAGCTGCGGCCCAAGTGGTAGAGTGTTAGCCTTGAGCAAAGGAGCTCAGGAACAGCATTCAGGCCCAGAGTTCAAGCCCCAGGACTGGCAAAAAAAAAAAAAAAAAAAGCCATGGGTCTGGGATGCGGCATTGGTCTGGGCCCTGGTGTTTGGGCCCTTGGAAAATGACCTGCACGTGATTCCCCTCTCTGTGGTGGGTGAGGATGGCAAAGGCCCAGGCCCTCAAGCCTCACAGAATTAGGAAGCTTGTCTCTGGTTCTTTTTCCCAACAACTGAGAGCCACCTGTTTGGCTGGGACAGAACATTCTACACTGCCTGAAGAAACTAGAATTCTGGAGTCTATGGATCTGTCTTTTCTGTCCTGGGCTGCCGCCCTCAGGGCAGCATGTTCCTTCTTAGCCCTTCATCTTCCAGCTCCTTAGAACAGCCTGGGGATATAGGTATCATATCTCCACGTATAGACATTTATAGAGTGCTGTCCTGTGAGCTGGAGAGAGGCATTTGGCCTTGTATCCTTGAGATGCTGCCATTGCTTTCCTTGAAGGACCAGGAAAAGTATAAACCTGGTGTAGAGGTGAGGTCAGAGGCTCGCTGGGCTCAGTATAAGCCCTCCCACAGCAAGAGGGTTGTTTTGTGAGTTCAGTGGACCTCACGCCCGGGTGGGGAGGCAGGAGAGTCCTAGAAGCTGACAACTCAACTCTCCCATTGGCTCTCCTAGGTTGGACTGGTGTTACAGTAACCAATCACCAGTGAGATTCTGGATAAAGCCACTGAAAATTCAAACCAGGAAATGGAACCCCACCACTTGTTGGTCCAACTTTTCACAAACGTGAGAATCCCTGGCAAAGGGAACAGAACTGAACCGGCTTTACCAAACCGCCATCGAACTTGACAATTGTATTACAATGGCGTAGGCTGCGTGATGTCACCTCTGGCCATGTCTCTGGTTCTCCCTGTTTTCTAATTAATCACATCCTCATGCAGCCGTGATCAAGGGAATGTAACTGCTGAAAACTAGCTCGTGATTGGCATATTATGGAGTTAACGGGTGAATAATAAAAGTATATATATATTATATATATAAATATTTTAAATATCTTTCATGTTCCAAATGTACAAGGAGGTTTGATCTCTAATGAGAAGCTGAATCCAGTCATTCCTCAGAATTAGAACCTAAAGGCAGTGGTGGACAGACATACTGGCACAATTCACTGTTCCTTCAGAAGCAGGCACTAGCTTTTTTCGGGAGGGCACTTCCTCCAGTTCCCCTTTGGAATCAGCTGGATGAACTGGCTTTAATTGGGGAGGGAAGAGGAAGGACTCTGCCAGCTTGGGAGAGGGCTCAGATCTCTCAGGATGAAAGGTGGAGCCCCTGGGTGGGGCTGATCCTTGGCAAGGCTCTTCCTGCAGGGCTCAGCCCTTTTCTGCACTCTGAGACTGAGCAGTGGGGACAATCATGGAAGCAGATTTCATTAATCAAATAAGTTCCTTTTCCACCCCTGAGGCCTGCTCCCTCTGGGAGGTCATCCTGCCAAGTGACTTAAAAGGGCTCTTAAGCCAGCTGTTGCCAACCTTACAGGAATGTGTCCTCTGTGAGAATTTGCCTTTCTACTGCCCAGAGTGACTGGCAGTTTGAAGAGGACCTTGAACCTCCTTGTAGCATCTGGAACCTTGTGAAGACCACATCAGTGCAAGCCCTACTTAGCACCCTGTTCTCCCCAGGGTGGCTAGGCAGAGATGACATAGGCTGATACCCAGGCCCTTCCAGCCCCAGCGCCTGGCCTGTGCCTTCTAGCCCATCAGCCATCTCTTGCTCTACTCCTCTCAGTGTCTCCATTCTAGGACACAAAGCCACAGTGACAGCAAGAAGTGGGGACTTGGCAACATTGCCATTGTCTAAGTCTGGTTTTCACTGATGATATTTTGTGAATTTTTGTGGTGGTAGTGATGGGTATGGATGCTGCCAATTTCTCCAGAAGTAACTGAGCCTCTGATCACATGGTGGCCCACGTCGGCATTCTTCAATGGTATTCAGCCAAGTGGCCTGGGAGGATCAGGTTCAGGCTGTGAACTATCTGCCAGCCTCATCAGCCTGCTCTAGGAGAAAACCCCTGGGGGACAACATGATGTGTGTCATCGCAGTGTGTGGTATGGAGTTTCCTTTCTGTTTCACCTTTTGGCTTCTTGAAGGGGAAGAAATCCTTAGCCAGGAGTCAGGCTCAGCTTCATCCCACAAATGGAAGCCACACTCTACAGGCCAACCAGGATTTGCTTCCGGCTATAGATTCTGGTGTGGTTTGCCAGAGGTTGATTCTGCAGTCTCCAAAGCTTGAGGAAATTGTGTACTTGGGATGGGGCTCCATGGAAAGCTTCCCGCTTTCTGCAGACTGCTGCTAGAGGCAGCAGCTCTTATGGGGTGGATTCTCATCACAGGGTCTTGGAGGCCTTGTTTCTCCCCACTGTCCTGTGCTGAAAACTACAGGCACCAGTGAAGGTGGCTGACCTTTGACTCCAAGATACCCAGACCAAAGAAGCTGCTGTTCTCGGCAAGATGCACAGAGTTCGAGCAGAGTTCCACAGACGCAGACAGGAGTCAGAGTCTGAGACTTCAGACTTGGTGCCCCAAGGGCCAGAGTGCTCAATCTGCTCAGGCCTCTAAGACATCAAAGAACAAGTGCTTTAGTCTTTCCTACCTTAGGCAGGACCTGAAACTTGATCACTTCTGAGCCAGGTTCAGGCTTCATTTGCCTCTAAAATATGGGATATACCTATCTCTGGAACGAGCTCTAATTTGGTTGGCTCTGGTCATGGGATGAAAACGATAAGTCTCAGGTGGCTGCTCTAAAAGAAACATCTTCTGGCAACTGTCCCAGTATCTCCTTCCCCAAAGTCAGGCAGCCTGCCCCTGGGATTCTTATTTCCTTATGGTGAGGGCCAGCCAGGTCTGCAGGAGTCAGCTCGGGAGCTTCTTTTTTATCCTGACCTTCTCTGGGTTCTTCACTCAGCCCCTTCTGGAATTTGGGGCCAGAGAGCACCATCATGGCATTCAGGACTACCTTGCAGGAGTGTAGTATGGAGGCCTCAAAACTGACTTGAACCAAACAAGGCAGGATCCTAAGACCTCCTAGCCAACTGGCTTCTAGCAGCTACTGTGAGAAGGCCTCTCGGGCCTGGCCCCTATTCTCTGCCACACAGTCTTTGCTGCTGAGTTCCAAAGACCATCCTGTCCTCTGGAGTGAGTCCATTTTCCTAGTCTGTAGGGAGAAAGCCAGGTAGAGAAGAGACCTGGGTCTGGAATAAGGCCTACATAAGACTTGTTTTTCCCACACATGCATGTTTCCAAAGATGCAGATGTCTGAAGGCTGGCTCAGGGCAAGCACTCCGACTCCTGTTTTTCAATGGAAAGTTTCAGGCTTGCCTGCAAATTCCTTTTATCTGCCCTTCCCTGCTTACTTGCTAGCTCTCTGAAGCCCAGAGGTGGTATCTCTATGGTCTTGAATTCTTTCCCTAAAGATGACTAGCACTTGGTGAGCCTGAAGGCCTGAAGGCCCTGGACAGTTGACAGTTGAGAAGAAAGAAAGAGGTCAGGAGTGTTTAGGGTAACCCACGGCCCGGTCTTACCTGCCTCAGAACCAGAGGACACCCAGGCCTCAGTTTTGCAGGCAGGCCTGCAACACACCATCTTGGAGGCTATTTAGGACAATTTCATTTAAAACAAACTCAAAAACATTGGCAAGCAGGTGCCACACCTTGGGACAGGGAGAGGGAAAGCTGCACCTTTTTGTCTTGGCTTTTCTTTTGGCTGTAGGGGGCATCCATTTCCAGGGTTGGGGAGGTAATACCAAATGCATTGTTGTTCTCAGTACATCTCACTTGTTTCTAATAAAGGAAGCAGCTGAACAAACTGATCTCCTGGTATTCCTCTGGTTAGCAGGTGGCAGTGACACAGATGGAGTCTTGGGGCCTCTGCTAGAACAAGGGTGACAAGAAAGGCCACCTGGGATCACAGTGCAAAGCCAGCTTTGAAAGGCCTTCCTTTGTCAAGGCTGAGAGAAGTAACCTGGCTTGGTCAGCACCAAGCACTTTAACAAAGGAGCTGACCAGACCCACCCTCCAAATCCCCGCTCAGGGCAGGTCAGCAGTGGCTCCTGCCACTAAGTCTAGATGTCATATCACTTTGGGCCACCAATAAGGTAGTTTGTTTTAAAAGCCACCAGGAGGCGCTGTACTGATTTTTAGCATAGATTGATAAATACATTTTTTTAAACTGTGGATTTGAACTCAGGGCTTCATGCTTGCTACTTGAGCCACATCTCCAGCCCTTTTTTTTTTTTTTCCATCATGGGGCCTGAACTCTGGGCTTAGGCGCTGTCCCTCAGCTCTTCAGCTCAAGGCTAGCACTCTACACCTGAGCCACAGTGCCACTTCCAGCTTTTTCTGCTTATGTGGTGCTGAGGAATTGAACCCAGGGCCTCATGGAAGCAAGGTAAGCACTCTACCACTGAGCCACCTTCCCAACCCTCTCCAGCCCTTTTTGCCTTTATTTTTCAAATAGGATCTTGTGCTATGCTCAGGCTAAGCTGGACTGTGATCCTTCTATTTACTTTTTTCTGTATAAGTGGGATCACAGACATAATTACCACCATACCCAGCTTTGGAAATGAGGTCTTACTTTTTGACCAAAAACCATGATATAACCTATCTCCACCTTGTGAGTATCTAGAATTACAGACTTGAGCCACCCTGCCCAGCTATTTTGTTTTTGTACTGAGTCAGCAAGCTAGTATTGGAGCTCAAGCCAAAAGTCTCATACTCTGCTTTTTAGTTTATGGCTGGGGCTCCATCACTTCTTTGCTGAAGATAAAGGAATTTCTAGTGCCAGGTACTGGTGGCTTTCACTTGTAATCCTAGAAGGTTTGGGGGCTGAGATCTGAGGCTCCCAGTTCAAAGTCGGCATGAGCAAGAAAGTCTGAGACTCCTACCTCTAGTTAGCTAGCAAAAGAGCCAGAAGTGGAGCTGTGGCTCAAATGGTAGAGCACTATCCTTTAGAAAAAAAAGCTCAGGGACAGTGCCAGGCCCAGAGTTTAAACCCCAGGTACAACAGGTAGACACACACACACACACACACACACACACACAATCTGAGATTTGTCTGCCCCAGCTGGCTTCAGACTGTGATCCTGTTTTCTGCCTTCTAATATTGCTAGAATTAAAGGCACAAGCCACCAGTGCCCAGATAAAACCAGGAGTTTGCACATGCTGGCTGGGCACTGTACCACCAAGCTCTAGGAGGAATGCTTTTAATTTAAACATTGTAGATTGTGGGACCCTACAACTGCACTTACTCCTCCCATTCCCCAAATTCTCATCCTTTTAAACTTTTCATCCATGCCCTGACCCCATGATCCTTCTCTGTACCCCCATGCATGGACAGTTCTCCTGTCTCCTTCCAGGAAATCTAAGACAACCCAAGACTGTCCTTACACTTCCTCTCTGTCCCAGCGCCCCAACTTGATCAGATCACTGGCTCTTGAAGGCTCAAGTTTCACTCCTCCCCTTAAAAGTTTTATCTGGGCCCAGTGCCCTTAGCTCACGACTGTAATTTAGCTACTCAGGAGGCTGAGATCTGAGGATTTGCAGTTCAAAGCCAGCCCAGGCAGGAAAAGTCCATGAGACTCTTATCTACAATAAACCACTCAGAAAACTGGAAGTGGCTCTGTGGCTCCAGTAGGAGAGTGCTTGCCTTAAGCTGAAGAGCTCAGGGGCAGTGCCCAGGCCTAGAGTTCAAGCCCCTAGACCGACCAAAAAAAAAAAAAAAGCTTTTTCTGGGAGAACACAGCCCTGTGGGTAACCTCCTGGACCCAGGACCTCCAGAACTGAAACAGATTTTTTTTCCCATCCTCAGTTCTGTCATTTTCCTGACCTTAAGGACTCTGGTCCTTTGATGAGATTTGTCAGCTCTAGACTCATTCTAGCCATCAACCCTGCCTCTTGTTACCCAAACCCAAGAGAAGCAAAGTAGGGGCTCATGGGCTGGGAAGGTATCCCAGTGATAAAGTGCTTGCCTTGCATGCATGAGGCCCTGGGTTCGATTCCTCAGCACCACATAAGCAGAAAAAGTTGGAAGTAGCACTGTGGCTCAAGTGGTAGAACACTAGCACTGAGCTGAAGAGCTGAGGGACAGAGTCCAAGCCCCATGACCGACAAAAAAAAAAAAGAAGTAGGGGCTCAGGCCCAGGTCTGGTACACACCTAACAGGATCCTCAGCTGGACCCTGACCTGAGCCCTGTGGGAACCAAAAAACTCATATTCTTCATATACTATAAAACTGGACTTGGGCCAGGCGCTAGTGGCTCATGCCTATAATCCTAGCTACTCAGGAGGCTGAGGATTATGGTTCTAAGCCAGCCAGGGCCTGAACGTCCATGAGAGGCTATCTCCAGTTAATCCCCTGAGACTTAATCACAGAAAAAGCTGGAAGTGGCACTGTGGCTCAAGTGGTAGATATGCTAGCTTTGAGCACAAAAAGGCTCAGGGGCAGCATTCAGGTCCTGAGTTCAAGCCCTAGGACCAGCCTAAAAATAAAAAAAAAAACTGGAATTTGGGCTGGGAAGTTGGCTCAGTGGTAGAGTGCTTGCCTTGCATGCATGAGGCCCTGGGTTTGATTCCTCAGCACCACATAAACAGAAAAGGCTGGAAGTGGCTTGTGGCTCAGGTGGTAGAGTGCTAGCCTTGAGCTGAAGAGCTGAGGGACAGCGTCCAGGCCCAGAGTTCAGGCCCCATGACTGGCAAAGAAAAAAAAAGGAATTGGATTGGGCTGCTTCCCATCTTGAAGCTGCAGTTTGGCTGCCTGGTCCTCCTGACAAGCACCAAGGGCCCGGGGCTGGCCAGCCCATTCCTTCCAGGCTGCCTTAGATCCTGGTCATCCTTTTTAGACACAAATTCATCAGTACCAAATAACACTACCGGGAACCAAGAGTAAGGAGAAGCCAGCACTTCCAGCCTCAGGTCTTGGAGCTATAGGAAGGTATATACTGCCCTGGGCTCTTTTTTTTTGGTCGGTCATAGGGCTTGAACTCTGGGCCTGAGTACTCTGAGTTCTCTGAGAACTCTGGGCGTGAGGCAAGCGCTCTACTGCTTGAGACAGTGCCACTTCCTGCCCTGGGCTCTTGTTCCTATAGGGCTTGGGGCCAAGCTCAGACCCTCCCCCCTACCAGGCGTCAGGCTCTCTGCCCTGTCCCAAACTGGTGCTGTTGCCTGGTAGGACCTAAAATACCATAGTTCTGTCTATAGTTAGTAGTGTGTGTGTGTACACGCACAAATTCTGGGACTTGAACACAAGGCCTGGACATTGTTCCTTTTTTGCTCAAGGCTGACACTGCAATTTGAGCCACAGCTCCATTTCGGGGGGGGGGGGGGGGGTTGTGTGCTTGTTTTGTTTTGTTTTGCTTTTGTTTTGGTAGTTAATTGGAAATGAGTTTTTGCCTAGGCTGGCTTCAAACCAGGATCCTCAGATCTCAAACTTCCGAGTAGCTAGGATAACAGGTAAGCCACTGGTGCCTTCCTCAGCTAGTCTCATAAAAAGCCCATTTGTGACAGCTTTGGGCCCAGGATTTTCTCTTCCTGTCACCTGATGTCTCCCACTTTTCCTGGCACTGTTACAGAGGCTGTCTGACAGACTGCCATTTTCCAGGCCTGTAGTTCCAAAGCTGGTTGGCTAGTAGAAAGTAGCTCATAGTCCTGGGATCTGTCCTCCTGAATAGACAGAGACCTCAAACCAGCTTAGCCTGGAAAATAATATCTCAGGGCCCTGCCTTTCTCCCCCATTTAAGGTCATTCATATGTGGCAGGAAACATGACCTTGTAAATTAGTGTACTCATTCTTGCAATACTGGTGGTAACTGCTTAAGCCAAGAGCAAGGGTCAAGGCTATTTTGAGCCATGACATCTCCTGTGGTGACTGCCATTGTCTCTGCTGTCTTTAGGTCAGGCCCTCTGGGGGAAGAGGCCCAAGGGACGCTTATTCCAGCCAGTCCCTCTTCAGTGTGTGTTGGGGGGGGGGGGGGGAGTGCCACAGAGTTGTTGCAGACTAGGGCTGGTAAAGTCAACGTAAGCTGCTTTATTTTAAATACTTTCCTACCGCCCTCTAGGGCTCTTCTATGGAACAAGTTACAAACGTATTGCCCAGATTCCCCAGTGCTCCACCTGTGTTCCCTTCTGGCTTCCAAACGGAAGGAGAGGGAGAGGAGTGAATAGGAGATCAAATTCAAGAGCCAGAGGGAAGAGACCAGGAGAATCTGGGGCAAAGGAGGGATTAGGGGACAGCTAATGCCCCGGACAGGGGCAGTGTGGTTGGTTGTACCCCTTCGGGGGAAGGAGGCTAGGATAGCTCAGCTAGGAAGGCTGATGGCTCACAGCAGGCCTGGCTTTCAGAGGCCACCAAGAGGTGGTCAGGGGTGGCTGAGGACCAGGGAGGCTGGGGCCATCTGAAGGCCCCAGGGTGGAGCCCTCTGAGGTCCAGTGAGCAGCTTGACATGATAGCTCACACTGTCCCCCAGGAGAAGCCAAACAACCCTCAACACCCAGGTGAAACCAGCACCTGGTGAGCAGGAAGGGCTGGAACTCCCATGATCCCTCACTTGAGAGGATAGGGCTCCATGGGTGATGCAGACTGGCCCCCTTCAGAACCACATAAGGTCAGTCAGGCCTTCAAGAGTGCTGGATGCAGATATGGACGAAGAGTGTGGCTGGGGACAGTGAGGCCCCATCCTTGGACAGCAGGTGGATGTGGCGGTATCCTGCGGGGGAGAGCAGCCTGGTATCAGGTTGGTCTTCAGCCCAGTGGAAATGGAGGCAACAAAGGTGAGCAGAGCCTGGCAAGTTGGGGCCCCATCTTTGTTCCCTCCCCATGCATTTCTAACCAACCTTGCTTCAGGCTGTTGAGTGGCAGTGTAAACTGGCCGACAAAGTCATTGGGGGAGGTGGTATCATAATCTTCTACCACGAACCGGACCAGCACTAGCTCTGGGACCCGCAGCTGGAACTGCAGGGTCTGTCCCCAGTGAGGGTTGAAGCCTATGATACAGATGTGGCTGTCAGGGTCGCTGACTCCAGGCCTACCCAGTCCCCCTCTCTGCTATTAGCCCACCCACCGTTATTGAGCACATAGTCAGTCTCCTTTCGGGCACAGTCTGCTGGTACTCCGTAGATCTCCACGCGTACCAAGGGGTCCACGATGGAGCTGGGCTTCTCCACATTCAGTTTGGGCAGCTGCTGGGCAGTCAGCACCTGTGGGAGGTGGAGAGGGCAGCATCCACATGCCCTCCCCCACCCTTGGAGGCCCCTGACCCTCAATACTCAGGCTGACCTTCCAACACATGCAAATGCTCAGGCCACCCTCATGGCAGGCCAGTCTTTGGCCTCCCTTGTATTCCTGTTTTTCACACTGGCACCACTGCAGAGCTAGTGGTGACCCCAGCCTGGGGCTTGGACCAGGCTACTGACCTGGACGGTTAGAGTGGTTCTGGGGGGTCCGGGGCACTCAGGGTCAAAGGTTGTATCAGGTTGCCGCAGGCAGGCAGGTTTCAGAACATAGCCACATTGGCCATTGATGAGGAAACGTCCTGCATTGAGGTCCATTTCATAGCCTGGTGTCTGGAAGTTCAAGGCCACTGTGGACAGAAGCATTGCACAGGGACTTTCAGTGGCTCTCACCTCACTGCTCAGGTTCAAGGGACAACTATGCGCAAGAGAGGACTGGCTCCGCTCCACAGTGGGCCTTGTGATGCACATTTTGATCAGTCAGTGTTGCCCTTACTTACAGAGAAGGTTTTATGGCAGCCAGGAGACCCAGGCCCCACTGTCACCTGTATCTTGTTTCAGCATCCCTTATGGCTGGAGGGTGGAGCTAGGGTAGAAGTCAAAGCTAGACCTTGGTCTGGGTCAGAGCCATGGCCTGAAGGGCTAAGTTTTCATACCTACCCTCGTGGGGACCATACTCCCCAGACACCTCTTCAGGGCTGACTTAGTGGGACTGCCAGGTGACTGTGTATATGGCAGGCAAATGGGAGCAGAGAATCTTAATTTATATCTCCATAAAAATGTGGCTTTGCCGGGCACCGGTGGCTCATGCCTGTAATCCTAGCTACTCAGGAGGCTGAGATCTGAGGATCTCGGTTCAAAGCCAGCCTGGGCAGGAAAGCCTGTGAAACTCTTATCTCCAATGACCCACCAGAAAACTGGAAGTGGCGCTGTAGCTCAAGTGGTAGAGCACTAGCCTTGAGCTGAAGAGCTGAGGGACAGCACCCAGATGCAGAGTTCAAGCCCCACAACCCACAAAAAAAAAAAAAAAATTAGTATAAATGTGGCTTTGCCGGGCACTGGTGGCTCACACCCGTAATCCTAGCTATTCAGGAGGCTGTGATCTGAGGACTGGTTCAAAGCCAGCCTGGATGAGAAAGCCTGAATCTTCAATTAATCACCAAAAAGGCCAGGAATAGAGCTGTGGCTCAAGTGGTAGAGCACCAGCCTCCAGTGAAAAAGGTGAGAGATGGTTCCCAGCCCCCGAGTTCAAGCCCCACTACCAGCCCCAAAAGAAAATGTGGCTTTACACTGTCAAGAACAAATGAGTGGGGCTGGGAAGGTGGCTCAGTGGGAGAGCGCTTGCCTCACATGCGTGAGGCCCTGGGTTCCATTCCTCAGCACTACATAAGCAGAAAAAAGCCAGAAGTGGCACTATGGCTCAAGTGGTAGGGCGCTCGCCTTGAGCTGAAGAGCTGAGAGACAGCGCCCAGGCCCAGAGTTCAAGCCCCATGACTGACAAAAAAAAGAACAAATGAGTCTGCTTTGATGTCCCTACGTATATTGCTGACAGCTTTTTATTTATTTATTTTTATGGTACTCCTAGGGCTTGAACTCAGGGCCTGGGTGCTGCCCTGAACTTCTTTTGCTCAAAGCTAACACTCTATTACTTGAACCACAGCACCACTTCTAGCTTTTTCTGAGTAGTTTGTTGAAGGTAAGAGTCACATAGACTTTCCTGTCCAAGCTGGCTTCAAACCACAACCCTAAGATCTCAGCCTCCTGAGTAACTAGGATTACAGGCGTGAGCCACCAGCATCTAGCTTCTAGTTTTTAAATGCTGTCACCAAAATACATCTAGAAGCCTTCTAGAAGGCTATATGGGAGCTGGGAATATGGCTTAATGGTAGAATGCTTGCCTAGCATGCATGAAGCCCTGGGTTCGATTCCTCAGTACCACATAAACAGAAAAAGCCAGAAGTGGCACTGTGGCTCAAGTGGTAGAGTGCTAGCCTTGAGCAAAAGAAGCTCAGGAACAGTGCCCAACCCCTGAGTTCAGCCCCAGGACTGGCCAAAAAAAAAAAAAAAAAAAATTAAAAAAAGGCTATGTGGCCCCCTTGCTGCTGAGGCTGCCCATGGCTGCCCAGAGACCACCCAACTGAGCAGCTTACACTTACCCAGCTGACAGCCCGAGTTCCACATCTCCTGGGGGCTGTAGTTGGCAGAGTTCATCCGCAAGCCCAGTGGGTACACACGTGTCAGTTGGCGAGTATTATGCTTGACAAAGCTGTTCCCTAAGGCAGAATTGGGACCAGGATTGTGACAGGCCCTGAGGGTGTCCCTTGCCCAGTGCCCAGGCCGATAGCTTCCTGGGGACAGGAGCTGTGAACTCCCTCTCCCCAGCTCCTCACTCTCTTCTGACCTAGGGGGCTCAGCGAGGAAGCTGCTAAGGCCCTGCAGGGGCAGGCATGCCCTGTGTCACATAGCCTGGCTCATGGCATCAGGCTAACATTCCATGAAACTCATTACTCACTCTGCCCACACCCTTCCAACCACACGTGTAGGTCATGGCTGCCAGCCATCGGAAAACCTATTCAGTCTCTGGAAGTCCCCTCCCCTTCCTCATTGGCTGCTTCCTCCTGATCCTGAAGGTGATGTGTCTTCTGAGGTATCATCTACCTGCTCCAGGAAACCTTCCTTTATCCCACACCTTCCTGCTGGGCTCTCCCAACCCCCGCCATGGCCTGACCATCCCCTCTGGGTTTGGCCTGCCACTCAGCAATGAGCACTGTGAAGGCCAACATAAAGCCTCTCTCCAGCCTAGGGTTCTCCCCTAAAGTTAGCCCAGCACCGGGCCCTCATTCCCCAAGTGGAGGTCCTCTCTAGGATCCTCCTGACTTCATCATGCTCCCTCTTGTCTGGAGACCAACTTCAGGACCCCTCGATTCCCTGGGAGCTGCACCCACCCACTGCGCCTTAGCAGATGCCCAATAGCACACTCCTACCTGTCTCCCGGATAAACTTCTTGGCCTTACGCTCGCTGAGGGAGCTGACCTGGCAGGGCTGTGGCGGGCTGGGCCCAGGGTTCAGGGTCCGAAGGCGGGTGGCACAGCAGTACACAGCCAGGGCAGACAGCTCAGGGGAGATTTGCTTGGCCTAGGAGACCAGAGTCAGTGGAGGCCCCCTGGCTCAAGTTCCCAAGTCCTCCTTCCCTATCCTTCTGACCTTACCCACTCCTAGCAGTAGGACCCAGTCCCCACTTAGCCCACTCACTCGCCGCCTCTGCTCGGCAGCCTCCACAGCCTCTTCATCCTCTTCTTCTTCCTCCTCTTCCTCCCTATCTGATAAGATTCGACCATCTTCATTCTGAGCAGCCGGCAGCTTCTTCCCCTTCACCAGGACCCGGCCCTTCAGCTGCTGTAGAGGCCAATTTGGACAGGTGAAGCCCTCCTGCCCCTCAGAGCAGGCGGTGGTTGGTCATTCGTCAAACATCACTGAGTGAGGAGGGTAGGAATAGGAAGAATGATGCTTCTCACAGGAAAAAGTGGGGAATGACCACAAGGCCATGAATGGAGGACAGCTTACAGCAAGTCTTTGTAACTCAGATGCAGCAGCCCTTACCCTGAGCAAGGCAGTGAGGACTGAAGGAAAAGGAGTCCTCTTCAAAATAGCTCTTTCACAGCAGTGAGTGAGTGTATACCCACACACGTGCCAGTACTGGGGCTTAAACTCAAGGCCTCAGACTCTCCCTTGACTTTTCTCCCTCCCTCAAGGCTGGCACTCTAACCACCTCAGCCGCAGTTTCACTTTGAACTTTTTGATGGTTAATTGGAGAGAAGAATGCCATGGGGTTTTCTGCACAGGTTGGCTTCAAACCTCAATCCTCAGATTTTAGCCTCCCAAGTAGCTAGGATTACAGGCATGAACCACCAGCATCTGGTTGCTATTTTCATATGTTCATATTTCATTTTTCTTTCTTGTTTTTTGGTCGGTTGTGGGGCTTAAACTTGGAGCCTGGGTGTTGTCCCTGAGCTCTTTTGCTCCAGGCTAGCTAGCCCTCAACCACATGAGCTACAGCACCATTTCTGGTTTTCTGGTTGTTCACTAGAGATAAGGGTCTCATGGACTTTCTTGCCTGGGCTGGCTTCAAACCACAATCCAATCCTCATATCTCAGCTTCCTGAGTAGCTAGGATTACAGGTATGAGCCACCAGCGCCCTGCTCAATTATTTTCATATTTCAAGACAAATGCTGGTGGCTCATGTTTTGCTTTTTGTTTTTTTGGTCGTGGGGCTTGCACTCTGGGCCTGGGCACTGTCCCTCAGCTCTTCAGCTCAAGGCTAGCACTCCACCACTTGAGCCACAGCGCCACTTCCGGTTTTCTGGTGGTTTATTGGAGATAAGAGTCGCACAGTCTTTCCTGCCTGGCTGGCTTGGAACCACGAGCCTCAGCCTCCTGAGTAGTTAGAATTACAGGCATGAGCCTTTAGCACCTGGCTAGAATCGTAACTACTCAGAATTACAGGTATGAACCATTAGCACCTGGCTAGAATCTTAACTACTTAGGAAGCTAAGATCTGAGGATCAGAGTTCAGATCCAGTTGAGACACAGACAGATCCTTGAGGCTCTTATCTCTAATTAACTGTCAGAATGAGGCATTATTCAAGCAGTAAACTGCCATCCACGCGTAAAAAAGCCAATTGGGAGTACAGCCACACACACACACACACACACACACACACACACACACACACACACACACACACACACACACACACACACACACACACACACAATCTTATCCTCCACATAAAGGTGAGTCAAGCTGGGTGCTTGTGACTCACGCCTATAATCTTAACTACTCAGGAAGCTGAAGCCTGGAGGATCATGGTTGAAAGACAGGCCAGGGAAGAAAAGTCTACAGTATCCCCAAAATAACCAGCAAAATGCTGAGCTAGAAGAGCTCAAGCTGGGAGCAAGCCAGCAGAGTTCAAACCCTGGAATCTGAAAGAAAACAAAAGGTGAGACAACATTTCTGTGTGCTCAGCGTTGGGAAGGGAGTCCTCACAAGAACTTGAAAATGTTCAGCACCCAGTGGGATTAAATGCTTTGGGCTTAGAGGAGAGGAGGAAAGAAGGAAAGCCATCTGTCCAGAGAGATGAGGAGGTTCAGAAGGCCATGGAAAGGGTTAAGCTGAGCTAGAACTCTGTATTTACTGATTGATTCTTTTTTTTTTTTTTTTTCCAGTCGTGGGGCCTGAACTCTGGGCCTGGGCGCTGTCCCTCAGCTCTTCAGCTCAAGGCTAGTGCTCTACCACTTGAGCCACAGCGCCACTTCCGGCTTTTTTATTTTTTCTGCTCATGTGGTGCTGAGGAATCGAACCCAGGGCCTCATGCATGCAAGGCAAGCGCTCTACCACTGAGCCACCTTCCCAGCCCTACTGACTGATTCTTGCAGTGCTAGGGATGGAACCTAGGGTCCTGTTCAGGCTAGACAAGAATCCTACTACTAAGTTATATTCCAACCCTACGGACTGAGCCACAATTCTAAGCAGTGGCACTGGGCAAGTGCAGACAATTGGGAAGAGAGGTACAGGTGAAGAAGAGTGTCAGCCCACACCTTGGAGGTGGAACTGCCTGAATCTGCAGAGAACCACTGAGGGCAAGCAACCAGGGCAGGCCCAGTCATAGAAGGCCTTGAATACCAGGGAAAAGAGGGCGTTAGGTCTAGTCAGGAAGGGAGAGCCAGAAAACAGCAGGACAGAGGTGTGCTGGATGTCAGGTGAACAGAGGAACACGAAAGGATCAAGGTAGAGAAAGGTGGGAAGTACTGAGCCAGAGGAGTGGCCTGAGCCAGAAGGGGTAGTAAGCCCCAGTCAGAATCTCCCTCCCACCCCATCCCCTTGCTGGAGGTCGGGGTGCATTACCTCTGGAGACGGCAGCTCCTCCGGGTTCTGGAGGTCCAGTGCTTCTGTCACCAGCATGTCTCCCAAGATGGTACGCAGATGACAGGCCATGGCAGCTTGCTGCTCTAACCCACAGTGGTTCTCAAGGGACAAGATGACAGGGTATGGGGACAACTGTGGGGGGAAAGGCAGCAGCTCAGAGCCACTCACCTTCCCCCAGCCCAGACCTCCCCTCCACCCAGTCCCCCTGCCTGGACAGGCAGGCAAACACAGGGCAGTGGAGAATCCATTGAAAAGAACCTTGTTCACAGGATGTGGGCCACCCTGGGACCTCTGTGTGTGTGTGTGTGTGTGTGTGTGTGTGTGTGTGTGTGTGTGTGTGTGTGTGTGTGAGAGCTGACTGTTTGGGAGGCTGAGAACAGCTGCAGGAAAGGCTTTCATAAATGTTCTTTATGTGTTCATGACATTGAATATTCAGTTATGTTCTAATACTACCCCCTCTCTTGTTAACCATGGGGTCTGAAAATCTCAACAGAAGTAGCAAAGGTTTTGTGTGGTACTGGGGCTTGAACTGAGGGCCCTGATGTCTCACTTAACTTTTTTTGCTCAAGGCTAGTGCTCTACCACTTGAAGCTCCACTTCTGGCTTTTTGGTAGTTAATGGGAGATGAGAGTCTCGCGGACTTTCCTGCCCAGGCTAGCTTTGAATGTGGATCCTCAGATCGCAGCCTCCTGACTAACTAGGATTACAGGCGTGCACCATCAATATTTAGCTAGATGGCACTGCTATACTTCTAATTTGGAAGTTGATTAAATGGCCTTCCCCACCCCTAAGGTTTTCTTCTGGAATTTTGGTAATGTTAATACATTTGTTTCTCATGAGAGTAGGAAGAGGAAATATCTCACTCAGCTTTACTCTCCCCCACTAGCCAACTATCCCTGAAGCACTTGGTGAATAAATGATGCTCTGGGCTGGGCTTGCTTTTGAAAGGACTAAAGGAAGCCAGCAAGTGGTAAGGCAAAGGGAAGGCTCCAGGGCTAGGGTGTGGTATCCCAGGGGCTCACCGTGAATGCGTGGTCACGCACAGCTTGGATCACATCTCGGAATAGGATCTTGGAGGTGAGTGTGTGGCCGTGGTAGATGACAGGCTCCCCTCCTGGTCCCTCCCAACAGTCCAGCTCTACACAGCGGCACCCCTGAGCAAAGGCCCTGCAGATGGGAAGACATATGAACCAAGACAATGGACAGGCTGGGCCAGGTAGGCCCAAGAAGCCCAGAGTAGGGGTTGAGTCCCATATTCCTCCCCTGATCCAGACTCGCCCAACATGGTACCTAACATAGGCCTCGGTGCTGCTGGGCCCCCCAATCTGAGAATCGGTCAGATAGGTATTGTGAGAGGAGGAGATGAAGTAGTGGGCAAGGGGCTGGCCCATGTCCTGGAACACACAAGTGTGGGCCATGTCCAGGGCAGCCCCCTCGGGTGACAGCAGGTACATCATGAAGCCATCCAGTGTCATGAGCTCATGCTGCTTGGCTGCAGGCAAGGACAGGAAAGAGGGTCAGGCCACAGGGGTTCTCTTTATAGTCCTAAATACCTCTGTGGATCCCTTGACTTAGCAACAACTAGACTCCCTACTGAGGACTATGTAACTATATAAGCTATGCCGGCTTTTGTTGTAGTTGTTGCTGGTTTTATGTTTTTACTGGCACTAGGGCTTGAACTCAGGCCTCACACCCTTGTTTGGCTTTTTCTCTGAAATCTGGTACTCTACCACTTGAACCATGTCTCCACTTTCAGCTTTTTTTTTTCTGATTAACTGGAGGTAAGAGTCTCTTGGATTTGTCTGTCCAGGCTGGATTCAAACCTCGATCTTTAGACCTCAGCCTCCTGAGTAGCTAGAATTACAGGTGTGAGCTATTAGTGTCCAACTGTTTTTTGTATCTGTTTTTGTTTTTGTGCCAGTACTGGGACTTGAATTCAGGGTACTCTTATCATTTGAACCCCACCTCTACTTCCAGCTATGCTGCTTCATCTTCAAACCCTGTGAGGTGAACCCATTGGAGTGATTCTACTCCAATGGAAGTATGGAAGAATCCTCTGAAAGAGTCACGGGAAAAGGCCGAGGATGGGATGGGAAGGTGGCTCAGTAGTAGAGTGCTTGCCTCACACACATGAGGCTCTGGGTTCAATCCCTCAGCACCACATAAACAAAAAAAGCCAGAAGTAGTGGTGCTGTGGCTCAAGTGGTAGAGTGTTAGCCTTGGGCTGAAGAGCTCAGGGACAGAACCCAGGCCCAGAGTTCAAGCCCCATGACCAACAACAACAACAAAAAAGCCCAGGATGGCACCCCAGCCCACTGATAGCAGAGCCCACCTGGCTAGTAAACCAGAACTGCCAAGACAGCTGTGCTGACAATCCCCATCTCCCCAGACCCACCTGCCTCATTGAGCTCATAGGTCTGGATGAGCTGCCGAGCACGGGCCAGGGTGGCACCGTCCTCACCCTGGTCCTCCAGGAACTCCAGCAGCTCTGGGGCGCTCAGCACGCGGTCCTCGCCTGAATACCTGCGGAAGATGGCCTCCAACTCCGGGCGTTTCAGCAACTGTCGCAAGAACTCCTCAATCTCAGCCCCCTCCAGCCTCTCATTGTTGGAATGGTCGCACTCCTGGGAAGAGGAGGCAGGCCTCAGAGGAGGGGACATCCTTGGAAAACTGGTCCCACTGACACACTCCATAATCCATCATCACTGTCAAAGCACTGTCAAAGCATTTCCCAGGTGGAAAAAGTACAAAAAAGACCTGGGTCACTCAAGCCCATGTGCCTGGTGAAACACAGGGCTAGGATTATTAGAAAGACCTCTCAGATTCTGTGCCTGTCCCTCTGCACCATGACCTACCCCAGGAATCAAGATGTGGGACCAAAATGCTGACCCTGGGACAGGTCTGACCCCAGTGTCACCATGTCCCTTTGTGTGTACATATCACCATCCTGACTCACATGCCTGGTCAAGGAGCAATAAACGAATGAGGAATTCATGGAACAGCCATATACAGCTGTCAGCCTGGGTACTGGTGCCAAGGCTCTCCTGTCAGGATTACAGGCTGGTGCCACAGCACCCACACAGGTGTCTGCCACATAGCCCACCCCACCCACAGATGCAGTGCCCATGCTTTTGTGTCTCAGAGCTCCTAGGCAAACACCTGTGAAGGATTGCACATCCTCACAGAAGGGGGTGTGCCTGCATCTGCAGTTCCTGTGTGCAAGCCACCCGTGGCCACATGTACCAGCTGTGCCCTATAGACTGGGGACATGAAAACAGCTCTGCTATAGGAATGAATGTGAGGGTGAGGAAAGTTCTGGTCCCTCAACCCCAGGGGAGGGGAAACCAGATCCAGATGTTGCCTTGCTGTTGGGAGAAGCAGGCAGTTTCTAGAAAAAGGTGGAGGATCCTCTTGCCAGTGGCTCATGAAGGCTAAAATCTGAAGATCAGGGTTTGAATCCACTCCAGGCAGGAAAGTCCGTGAGACTCCTATCTCCAGTTAAGGAGCAAAAATCCAGAAGTGGAGCTGTGGTTCAAGTGGTAGAGCATCAGCCTTGAACAAAAAGATGGTCAGAGACAACACCCAGGCCCTGAGTTCAAGCTCTGGTACACACACACACACACACACACACACACACACAACTGGAAGACGAGGAGGCTGGAACAGCAAAGCAGTAGCTGGGCCAGGGGCTGGGTTCACCTTGAAGAGGCGATAGGCGTACATGTCATTCATGTCCACGTTGACCATCCTGAGCAGGCTCTTGATCTCCTTGAAGCTCATCTTACTGTCCTGGTTCGAGTCTGCCCGGTGCAGATAGGAGTGGATCCAGGTATGGATGCTCAGGAAAAACAAAACAAAACCCCAATAGATTGAGCCCCCTCCACCCATGGGCTGGCAGGTAACTGACAGGTAAGTCACCACTACCTGGAGTCTTGGGCACTTTCTCATCAATCTGTGTCCTCCTTGAGCACAGTAGCAACATCTTGTCCTTGGGCTGGTGCTCTCCAAGCTAGAAAGCCCCCATCTCCACCTCCAAACCCCATGAAGGGATCTTAGCAGGCCAGGGTGAAGGCGTCCATCCCCAGCCTGGAGGATCAGGGATTTAATCTCAGGCTGTTGCTAAAGGCAGAGCCATGGCCGGCCAGGGATTGGGGGCTCCCCAGGTTCCTGTCCGCCCTCCCTCTTTTCTAGCAGGATATTGGTCCAGCCGCTCGCGCTGGCTCATGGCGTCGATGCGCGCGCGCAGCTTCGCCAGGCCGCGCACCCAGCGCTGCGCCTCCTCGGCCGTGGGCGCCGCCAGGTCCAGGTTCTTGCGGCGTCCCTTGAAGGCGATGGTGAGGCAGCGCGCAGGGGCGAAGGCGCCTCCGAAGCGCCGCAGGCCCTCGGACTGGTGGCCCTCGCGGACAGCCTCGATATGCTGCACAAAGACTGCAGGCAGGGCCGGTCAAGATGGTGCCCGGGAGGCCCAGGATCGTACCTGCCACCCAGCCCAGTGCCACCCAGCCTGGTGCCACTCACAGATGTGCTTGGAGGGCGCGCGCGGGATGCGCCGCTGGAACCACACGCTCAGGCCGTCCTCCTGCAGCCGGTACAGCCGCTCCTGCTGCCACGTGCGCGAGCGGATCTTGCGGAGCCGGGAGCCTCGCAGCATGGCCAGGACGTCTTCATCCTCTGTCAGGCCTGCAGGGAGCCGAAGCGGCCTGGGGTGTTGGGCCTGGCCTTATCAGAATCTTCCTCCACCCAGCGAAGACCCACTGCCCCACTCCCAGAGCCTCTCCAAACTCAGGCCTCTTCAGTGAACTTCCTGCCCCTCCAGGTTGGCCCTTCTTCCTCACTTCATTGTAACAGGAGGCTGCCATCATCACAAGCTTTGCACCCCCTAATTCCACCCACCAAATGGGCCAGTAGCAGGCCTTCCTTCCCTTTCAAGCCAGCCGTCTAGGTAGTGCCCAGAGCCGGACAACTTAGTGCCTGGTACTTAGGGCCCTCCTCCTGTCCCCCCACCCCCACCCCAGCAAAGCCTTCAAGCTCCGAGTCTGCCACCAACCATGCTTTGCCTTTTAAAATGTTTCAGTTCTAGCGCTGGTGGTTCATGTCTGTAATCCTAGCAACTCAGGAGGCTGACATCTGAGGATGGCAATTCAAAGCCAGCCTGGGCAGGAAAGTCTGTGAGACTCTCATCTCCTATTAACCACCAGAAAACTGGAAGTGGCTCTATGGTAGAGTGCTAGCCTTGATTGAAAGAGCTCAGAGATAGTGCCTAGGTCATGAGTTTAAGCCCCATGACAGACAAGAAAAAAGAAAAATCAGTACTCAGGCTTGAACTTGAACTTGACAGGCCTGGATGCTGTCCCTTAACTTTTTCAAAAGCTCAGGGCTGGCACACTACTACTTGAGACCCAGCTCCACTTCTGGCTTTGTGGTGGCTAATTGGAGATAAAGAGTGTCACTGGAGGGCTGGGAAGGTGGCTCAGTGGTAGAGCGCTTGCCTTGCATGCTCAAGTCCCTGGGTTCGATTCCTCAGCACCACATAAGCAAAAAGAAAAAAGCCGGAAGTGGCGCTGTGACTCAAGTGGTAGAGCGCTAGCCTTGAGCTGAAGAGCTGAGGGACAGTACCCAGGCCCAGAGTTCAGGCCCCACAACCGGACCAAAAAAAAAAAAAGAGTGTCACTGGACTTTCCTGCTTTGGCTGGCTTAGAACCACAATCCTCAGATTTCAATTTCCTGAGTAGCTAGGATTACAGGTGTGAGCGAGCCACTGCTGACCTGCTAGCCTTTCCCTTGATGGGAAACTTGGAGCCATCAGGAAAGAAGTCTCACTATCTAACCTAAATCTGTCTTGCTGCAACCCAAGCTCCTTGCCTCTGGTTTCCCAAGAACAAAGAGGACAGCAGAGGCCACTGTGCTGCAGGGTCGAGGACAAAGATTCCAGGTACAGCCCCACCTGCACAGTGAGACTGCAGCAGTCAGCACAGCCCTCCCACGGCTTCCTTCTTCCTCTTCCTTTCCCTGCAAGTGCTCTGGGCGAAGAAGAATTAAAACAAAGGCGTTAAGCCCAATTCTGTCATCTCCCAGTTATATGGCGCTGGTGACACTACAAGACTGCTCTGAGCCATGTGCTGTCCATCCATAACATAGAGACCTCTGCAGTAAAATCCACAATTAAATAGCAATCCTAAACAATCTGCAGAAGTTTGGTGGGTTTTGGAACCAACCCCTGGTTAAAGCCTAATCTGAACACCTCACAGGAGTCTACACCAAAATGCCCCGAGCTGAGATATTAGGAATGGTGGGAACTAGGTACACTGCACCAGAGCCCACACCCTTCCCGAGAGGCCAGCCAGGAGTGGACGAGAGGCCAGCCAGGGGTGGACGGGGCCTGGAGTTTCCATGAGACAGGAATCTGGATCGGATATGAAGCCTCTACATTTTTTAATGTTGGCAACTAAGTCAAATTACAAAAACAAAAACCCAAAACCACTGGGGCCAAATGAAACTTAATAATGTCTCGCAGGGCTGGGAAGGTGGCTCAGTGGTAGAGTGCTTGCCTTGCATGCTAGAGGCCCTGGGTTCGATTCCTCAGCACCACATAAGCAAAAAGAAAAAAGCCGGAAGTGGCGCTATGGCTCAAGTGGTAGAGCGCTAGCCTTGAGCTGAAGAGCTGAGGGGCAGCGCCCAGGCCCAGAGTTCAGGCCCCACGACTAGACCCCCTCCAAAAAAACAAAAAACACCAATGTCTCTCTTCCTTTTGTGTGTGTGTGTGTATGCCCATACGTGCGTGTGCATGCGCACACCTATAGTAGGGCTTGAACTCAAGGGCCTCTTAGTCTCTTTTGACTTTTTTTGTTGTTGTTGGTCGTAGGGCTTGAAAGCTGGGTTTAGATGTTGTCCCTCAGCTCTTCAGCTCAAGGCTAGCACTCTACCACTTGAGCCACAGCGCCACTTCCGGTTTTCTAGTGGTTAATTGGAGATAAGAGTCTCACAGACGTTCCTGCCCAGCTGGCTTTGAACCGAGATCCTCAGATCTCAGCCTCCTGAGTAGCTAGGATTACAGGCGTGAGCCACCGGCAACCAGCCCCCCTTCTGTTTCTAGTAGCTGAGTTCCAAGCAGAGTTCCACCTCTTCTAAGAAAGCCTTCCTTGATTTCTTCTCAAATGGGAGTTCTCCCTCACTGATCACCAACTGTACTTTTTCTTTCAATAATAATAATTTTAAAAAAGCCAGGTATTAGTGGCTCACGTTTATATTCCTAGCTACTCAGGTGGATGAGATCTGGAGGATCATGGTTCAAAGTCAGTCCAGGAAGAAAAAGTCTGTGCGACTATCTCCAGAATAGCCAGCAAAAAGCTGGGCTGGAGGCATGGCTGCAAAATGTAAGCAAACCAGCCAAACAAGTGAACAGCCCTAAGTTCAAACCCAGTATGGCAACAAAGACCAAGTCAGGTATGACGGTACCCATTTGTAGTCTTAGCACTTAGGAGGCTGAGGCAGGAGGATCTGAGTTTAAGGTCAGTTTGGACTACATAGAAAGACCCTTCTCAAACAAACAACCCCGCAAAGCCAAACCAAAATACCACCATCATCAGACCAAAATATCACAAATGTGTGTGTGTGTATGTGTGTGAGAGAGAGAGAGAGAGAGAGACAGAGAAAGAGACAGAGAAAGAGAGAGAGTGTACTGAGGCTTGAACTCAGAGCCTAGATGCTGTCCCTTAGTGCTGGCACTTTACCACTTGAGCCACAGCTCCATTTCTGGCTTTTTACTGGCTAATTGCAGATAAGATACTCCCAGACTTTCCTGCCATGGCCAGTTTTGAACTACAATCCTCAAATCTCAGCCTCCTGATGAACTAGGATTACGTCCTAGTGCCTACCTCTCTCAGACTTTAATAAGCCGGAGGGCAGACAGGAGTGCTCCTGTCTGCTTGGCTTCAGTGTTTTTATGGAAGGACAGGCAGGCAGACAGACAGACAGACCAGGCTAAGTGAATCTGCCCAGGCTGGCCCTGCCTCATCTTTTCTGGGTAAGGTCTTTTAGGGTCAGGGTTTCTCAGCTCTGGCTGGCATTGGAATGATGAGATGTTCAGCCAGCAGGTGTGGGGTGGAGCCTGCTTATTCATATTTTAATTCTTTACCTTATGGTTTGATGGAGAATCAGGGTCTCAGGAGGAAAGGAGATCTGCCTTCTTTAGGTGGCTATGGTTTCCTGTGGACCCTAACAGCTCTAAAGGGGCTTCCAGAGTCTAGGCTGTGGCATTCTGTTTTACAGTGCTCCCAGCCAGAAAGGGGAGGTAAAACCCTCTTTCCAGACAAAAAGCCAGGTCAGGGGACTTGCCAGACTTCCCTTAGTCCCCTGTCACCTTCCGGCCACAGCCAGACAGTCTCTGAATTCTCTCCTGAGAAACAACACGGCAGTGTGGGGGCAGGACAGTGGGGGAAGTGGCAGTGCTACCATACCAGGCCCCACCCCTTCATCCCACTCTGCCGCTGAGGTCACCCTCCACCAACCCAGCAGTCCTCTGATGCTGAGCCTCTGGGGGTGTGGAGAGAGCTGGCCAATGACTAAGGCAGGAAATGGAGGTGAGTCACAGTGGGCCTGCTTTGTCCACTGATTCTGCAAACAGACAACCATGAGACAAGCAGTCCCCAGGGCTTCCTCATTGGAGGGGTCCCTGCTCCTGGGCTCCTATCATCCTCCCCACAATGCTAAAGTCTATTAGGGGAGGGGTGACATTTCAAGATGCCCACCCAAGTGGCACTGACCCTTGAATGAATGCAGAACCAGGCCAGGCCAGGGGCTACGGCCTGGGAGAGTGCTTCTAAACCATGGCCAGAGCCAGACTCATGCCAGTACTAGTGGCTGTGTCTGTACTACTAGTACTACTACTGGGTACTTGGGAGGCTGAGATCTGAGGATCAAGGTTTAAAGGTTTGGAGACTCTTATCTTCAATTAACCAGGAAAAAGCTGCAATGGAGTTGTGGCTCAAGAGGGAGCGCACTACTAGCCTTGAGCAAAAATGCTAAGGGACTGTGCCCTGGCCCTAGCTCTCAAACACACACATATATACAAAACTATATAAGTAAACAAACAAACCACGGCTGGAGAAAGGCCCAGGATCAGACAGGAAAGGCTCGGAGGGCCAACAGAGATGAAAGGCCAGGTCAGAAGAAGGCTCAGACCCAGAGCAGGGATTCTGGGAGGGCCCTGGCTCTCCACCCAGCCCCTTAGGACACAAGTCCACACCCCCAGATGTGGCCTCTAGCTCATTCCTACAGGCTCTGAACAGGTGCACAGGCCTCTCACATCTGTTTTCCTATCTCAGCCAGGGCCAGTCTCTACTGAGTGGGTGGGGGAATAACCATGAAGTGACAGAAGGAAAAAAGGGGGTAGAGCCAGAAGATGGGAAGAACCTTAGTCTCCATCACAGGTGAATCGTTAAGGAAAATGTGACACCTAGATCTTTCAAAGGAAATGAAACCTGACACATGTCACAACATAGGCAAACCCTGAAAAGCTGATGCTAAGTGAAAGAATCCAGATCCAAGGTACTGTCTGAGTCTACTAATTTGAGTCCCCCAGAACAGGCTCATTCAGAGACAGAAAGATTAGAGGTTACCAGGATCTGGCAGAGGGAGGAATGGGGAGTTACTGCTTAGTAATTACAGAGTTGCTTTTTACT